ATGATACTTTTTGGTATCCATCGTCAAAACGTCGTCAAACCGAAGTAGGGAGATGTCTATTCTGTTTCAGATGCCCAGTAACGATGAATTCTGAATACCCAGATGACGTCATGATACTTTTTGGTATCCATCGTCAAAACGTCGTCAAACCGAAGTAGGGAGATGTCTATTCTGTTTCAGATGCCCAGTAACGATGAATTCTGAATACCCAGATGACGTCATGATACTTTTTGGTATCCATCGTCAAAACGTCGTCAAACCGAAGTAGGGAGATGTCTATTCTGTTTCAGATGCCCAGTAACGATGAATTCTGAATACCCAGATGACGTCATGATACTTTTTGGTATCCATCGTCAAAACGTCGTCAAACCGAAGTAGGGAGATGTCTATTCTGTTTCAGATGCCCAGTAACGATGAATTCTGAATACCCAGATGACGTCAGAATACTTTTTAGTATCCATCGTCAAAACGTCGTCAAACCGAAGTAGGGAGATGTCTATTCTGTTTCAGATGCCCAGTAACGATGAATTCTGAATACCCAGATGACGTCAGAATACTTTTTTAGTATCCATCGTCAAAACGTCGTCAAACCGAAGTAGGGAGATGTCTATTCTGTTTCAGATGCCCAGTAACGATGAATTCTGAATACCCAGATGACGTCATGATACTTTTTGGTATCCATCGTCAAAACGTCGTCAAACCGAAGTAGGGAGATGTCTATTCTGTTTCAGATGCCCAGTAACGATGAATTCTGAATACCCAGATGACGTCATGATACTTTTTGGTATCCATCGTCAAAACGTCGTCAAACCGAAGTAGGGAGATGTCTATTCTGTTTCAGATGCCCAGTAACGATGAATTCTGAATACCCAGATGACGTCATGATACTTTTTGGTATCCATCGTCAAAACGTCGTCAAACCGAAGTAGGGAGATGTCTATTCTGTTTCAGATGCCCAGTAACGATGAATTCTGAATACCCAGATGACGTCATGATACTTTTTGGTATCCATCGTCAAAACGTCGTCAAACCGAAGTAGGGAGATGTCTATTCTGTTTCAGATGCCCAGTAACGATGAATTCTGAATACCCAGATGACGTCAGAATACTTTTTAGTATCCATCGTCAAAACGTCGTCAAACCGAAGTAGGGAGATGTCTATTCTGTTTCAGATGCCCAGTAACGATGAATTCTGAATACCCAGATGACGTCAGAATACTTTTTAGTATCCATCGTCAAAACGTCATGCCCAGTAACGATGAATTCTGAATACCCAGATGACGTCATGATACTTTTTGGTATCCATCGTCAAAACGTCGTCAAACCGAAGTAGGGAGATGTCTATTCTGTTTCAGATGCCCAGTAACGATGAATTCTGAATACCCAGATGACGTCATGATACTTTTTGGTATCCATCGTCAAAACGTCGTCAAACCGAAGTAGGGAGATGTCTATTCTGTTTCAGATGCCCAGTAACGATGAATTCTGAATACCCAGATGACGTCATGATACTTTTTGGTATCCATCGTCAAAACGTCGTCAAACCGAAGTAGGGAGATGTCTATTCTGTTTCAGATGCCCAGTAACGATGAATTCTGAATACCCAGATGACGTCAGAATACTTTTTAGTATCCATCGTCAAAACGTCGTCAAACCGAAGTAGGGAGATGTCTATTCTGTTTCAGATGCCCGGTAACGATGAATTCTGAATACCCAGATGACGTCAGAATACTTTTTAGTATCCATCGTCAAAACGTCGTCAAACCGAAGTAGGGAGATGTCTATTCTGTTTCAGATGCCCAGTAACGATGAATTCTGAATACCCAGATGACGTCAGAATACTTTTTAGTATCCATCGTCAAAACGTCGTCAAACCGAAGTAGGGAGATGTCTATTCTGTTTCAGATGCCCAGTAACGATGAATTCTGAATACCCAGATGACGTCAGAATACTTTTTAGTATCCATCGTCAAAACGTCGTCAAACCGAAGTAGGGAGATGTCTATTCTGTTTCAGATGCCCAGTAACGATGAATTCTGAATACCCAGATGACGTCATGATACTTTTTGGTATCCATCGTCAAAACGTCGTCAAACCGAAGTAGGGAGATGTCTATTCTGTTTCAGATGCCCAGTAACGATGAATTCTGAATACCCAGATGACGTCATGATACTTTTTGGTATCCATCGTCAAAACGTCGTCAAACCGAAGTAGGGAGATGTCTATCCTGTTTCAGATGCCCAGTAACGATGAATTCTGAATACCCAGATGACGTCAGAATACTTTTTAGTATCCATCGTCAAAACGTCGTCAAACCGAAGTAGGGAGATGTCTATTCTGTTTCAGATGCCCAGTAACGATGAATTCTGAATACCCAGATGACGTCAGAATACTTTTTAGTATCCATCGTCAAAACGTCGTCAAACCGAAGTAGGGAGATGTCTATTCTGTTTCAGATGCCCAGTAACGATGAATTCTGAATACCCAGATGACGTCAGAATACTTTTTAGTATCCATCGTCAAAACGTCGTCAAACCGAAGTAGGGAGATGTCTGTCCTGTTTCAGATGCCCAGTAACGATGAATTCTGAATACCCAGATGACGTCAGAATACTTTTTAGTATCCATCGTCAAAACGTCGTCAAACCGAAGTAGGGAGATGTCTATTCTGTTTCAGATGCCCAGTAACGATGAATTCTGAATACCCAGATGACGTCAGAATACTTTTTAGTATCCATCGTCAAAACGTCGTCAAACCGAAGTAGGGAGATGTCTATTCTGTTTCAGATGCCCAGTAACGATGAATTCTGAATACCCAGATGACGTCAGAATACTTTTTAGTATCCATCGTCAAAACGTCGTCAAACCGAAGTAGGGAGATGTCTATTCTGTTTCAGATGCCCAGTAACGATGAATTCTGAATACCCAGATGACGTCAGAATACTTTTTAGTATCCATCGTCAAAACGTCGTCAAACCGAAGTAGGGAGATGTCTATTCTGTTTCAGATGCCCAGTAACGATGAATTCTGAATACCCAGATGACGTCAGAATACTTTTTTAGTATCCATCGTCAAAACGTCGTCAAACCGAAGTAGGGAGATGTCTATTCTGTTTCAGATGCCCAGTAACGATGAATTCTGAATACCCAGATGACGTCAGAATACTTTTTAGTATCCATCGTCAAAACGTCGTCAAACCGAAGTAGGGAGATGTCTATTCTGTTTCAGATGCCCAGTAACGATGAATTCTGAATACCCAGATGACGTCATGATACTTTTTGGTATCCATCGTCAAAACGTCGTCAAACCGAAGTAGGGAGATGTCTATTCTGTTTCAGATGCCCAGTAACGATGAATTCTGAATACCCAGATGACGTCATGATACTTTTTGGTATCCATCGTCAAAACGTCGTCAAACCGAAGTAGGGAGATGTCTATTCTGTTTCAGATGCCCAGTAACGATGAATTCTGAATACCCAGATGACGTCAGAATACTTTTTAGTATCCATCGTCAAAACGTCGTCAAACCGAAGTAGGGAGATGTCTATTCTGTTTCAGATGCCCAGTAACGATGAATTCTGAATACCCAGATGACGTCAGAATACTTTTTAGTATCCATCGTCAAAACGTCGTCAAACCGAAGTAGGGAGATGTCTATTCTGTTTCAGATGCCCAGTAACGATGAATTCTGAATACCCAGATGACGTCAGAATACTTTTTTAGTATCCATCGTCAAAACGTCGTCAAACCGAAGTAGGGAGATGTCTATTCTGTTTCAGATGCCCAGTAACGATGAATTCTGAATACCCAGATGACGTCATGATACTTTTTGGTATCCATCGTCAAAACGTCGTCAAACCGAAGTAGGGAGATGTCTATTCTGTTTCAGATGCCCAGTAACGATGAATTCTGAATACCCAGATGACGTCAGAATACTTTTTAGTATCCATCGTCAAAACGTCGTCAAACCGAAGTAGGGAGATGTCTATTCTGTTTCAGATGCCCAGTAACGATGAATTCTGAATACCCAGATGACGTCAGAATACTTTTTGGTATCCATCGTCAAAACGTCGTCAAACCGAAGTAGGGAGATGTCTATTCTGTTTCAGATGCCCAGTAACGATGAATTCTGAATACCCAGATGACGTCAGAATACTTTTTAGTATCCATCGTCAAAACGTCGTCAAACCGAAGTAGGGAGATGTCTATTCTGTTTCAGATGCCCAGTAACGATGAATTCTGAATACCCAGATGACGTCAGAATACTTTTTAGTATCCATCGTCAAAACGTCGTCAAACCGAAGTAGGGAGATGTCTATTCTGTTTCAGATGCCCAGTAACGATGAATTCTGAATACCCAGATGACGTCATGATACTTTTTGGTATCCATCGTCAAAACGTCGTCAAACCGAAGTAGGGAGATGTCTATTCTGTTTCAGATGCCCAGTAACGATGAATTCTGAATACCCAGATGACGTCAGAATACTTTTTTAGTATCCATCGTCAAAACGTCGTCAAACCGAAGTAGGGAGATGTCTATTCTGTTTCAGATGCCCAGTAACGATGAATTCTGAATACCCAGATGACGTCAGAATACTTTTTGGTATCCATCGTCAAAACGTCGTCAAACCGAAGTAGGGAGATGTCTATTCTGTTTCAGATGCCCAGTAACGATGAATTCTGAATACCCAGATGACGTCAGAATACTTTTTAGTATCCATCGTCAAAACGTCGTCAAACCGAAGTAGGGAGATGTCTATTCTGTTTCAGATGCCCAGTAACGATGAATTCTGAATACCCAGATGACGTCAGAATACTTTTTAGTATCCATCGTCAAAACGTCGTCAAACCGAAGTAGGGAGATGTCTATTCTGTTTCAGATGCCCAGTAACGATGAATTCTGAATACCCAGATGACGTCATGATACTTTTTGGTATCCATCGTCAAAACGTCGTCAAACCGAAGTAGGGAGATGTCTATTCTGTTTCAGATGCCCAGTAACGATGAATTCTGAATACCCAGATGACGTCATGATACTTTTTGGTATCCATCGTCAAAACGTCGTCAAACCGAAGTAGGGAGATGTCTATTCTGTTTCAGATGCCCAGTAACGATGAATTCTGAATACCCAGATGACGTCATGATACTTTTTGGTATCCATCGTCAAAACGTCGTCAAACCGAAGTAGGGAGATGTCTATTCTGTTTCAGATGCCCAGTAACGATGAATTCTGAATACCCAGATGACGTCAGAATACTTTTTAGTATCCATCGTCAAAACGTCGTCAAACCGAAGTAGGGAGATGTCTATTCTGTTTCAGATGCCCAGTAACGATGAATTCTGAATACCCAGATGACGTCAGAATACTTTTTAGTATCCATCGTCAAAACGTCGTCAAACCGAAGTAGGGAGATGTCTATTCTGTTTCAGATGCCCAGTAACGATGAATTCTGAATACCCAGATGACGTCATGATACTTTTTGGTATCCATCGTCAAAACGTCGTCAAACCGAAGTAGGGAGATGTCTATTCTGTTTCAGATGCCCAGTAACGATGAATTCTGAATACCCAGATGACGTCAGAATACTTTTTGGTATCCATCGTCAAAACGTCGTCAAACCGAAGTAGGGAGATGTCTATTCTGTTTCAGATGCCCAGTAACGATGAATTCTGAATACCCAGATGACGTCAGAATACTTTTTAGTATCCATCGTCAAAACGTCGTCAAACCGAAGTAGGGAGATGTCTATTCTGTTTCAGATGCCCAGTAACGATGAATTCTGAATACCCAGATGACGTCAGAATACTTTTTAGTATCCATCGTCAAAACGTCGTCAAACCGAAGTAGGGAGATGTCTATTCTGTTTCAGATGCCCAGTAACGATGAATTCTGAATACCCAGATGACGTCATGATACTTTTTGGTATCCATCGTCAAAACGTCGTCAAACCGAAGTAGGGAGATGTCTATTCTGTTTCAGATGCCCAGTAACGATGAATTCTGAATACCCAGATGACGTCATGATACTTTTTGGTATCCATCGTCAAAACGTCGTCAAACCGAAGTAGGGAGATGTCTATTCTGTTTCAGATGCCCAGTAACGATGAATTCTGAATACCCAGATGACGTCAGGATACTTTTTGGTATCCATCGTCAAAACGTCGTCAAACCGAAGTAGGGAGATGTCTATTCTGTTTCAGATGCCCAGTAACGATGAATTCTGAATACCCAGATGACGTCATGATACTTTTTGGTATCCATCGTCAAAACGTCGTCAAACCGAAGTAGGGAGATGTCTATTCTGTTTCAGATGCCCAGTAACGATGAATTCTGAATACCCAGATGACGTCATGATACTTTTTGGTATCCATCGTCAAAACGTCGTCAAACCGAAGTAGGGAGATGTCTATTCTGTTTCAGATGCCCAGTAACGATGAATTCTGAATACCCAGATGACGTCAGAATACTTTTTAGTATCCATCGTCAAAACGTCGTCAAACCGAAGTAGGGAGATGTCTATTCTGTTTCAGATGCCCAGTAACGATGAATTCTGAATACCCAGATGACGTCAGAATACTTTTTAGTATCCATCGTCAAAACGTCGTCAAACCGAAGTAGGGAGATGTCTATTCTGTTTCAGATGCCCAGTAACGATGAATTCTGAATACCCAGATGACGTCATGATACTTTTTGGTATCCATCGTCAAAACGTCGTCAAACCGAAGTAGGGAGATGTCTATTCTGTTTCAGATGCCCAGTAACGATGAATTCTGAATACCCAGATGACGTCAGAATACTTTTTAGTATCCATCGTCAAAACGTCGTCAAACCGAAGTAGGGAGATGTCTATTCTGTTTCAGATGCCCAGTAACGATGAATTCTGAATACCCAGATGACGTCATGATACTTTTTGGTATCCATCGTCAAAACGTCGTCAAACCGAAGTAGGGAGATGTCTATTCTGTTTCAGATGCCCAGTAACGATGAATTCTGAATACCCAGATGACGTCAGAATACTTTTTGGTATCCATCGTCAAAACGTCGTCAAACCGAAGTAGGGAGATGTCTATTCTGTTTCAGATGCCCAGTAACGATGAATTCTGAATACCCAGATGACGTCAGAATACTTTTTAGTATCCATCGTCAAAACGTCGTCAAACCGAAGTAGGGAGATGTCTATTCTGTTTCAGATGCCCAGTAACGATGAATTCTGAATACCCAGATGACGTCAGAATACTTTTTGGTATCCATCGTCAAAACGTCGTCAAACCGAAGTAGGGAGATGTCTATTCTGTTTCAGATGCCCAGTAACGATGAATTCTGAATACCCAGATGACGTCAGAATACTTTTTAGTATCCATCGTCAAAACGTCGTCAAACCGAAGTAGGGAGATGTCTATTCTGTTTCAGATGCCCAGTAACGATGAATTCTGAATACCCAGATGACGTCAGAATACTTTTTAGTATCCATCGTCAAAACGTCGTCAAACCGAAGTAGGGAGATGTCTATTCTGTTTCAGATGCCCAGTAACGATGAATTCTGAATACCCAGATGACGTCATGATACTTTTTGGTATCCATCGTCAAAACGTCGTCAAACCGAAGTAGGGAGATGTCTATTCTGTTTCAGATGCCCAGTAACGATGAATTCTGAATACCCAGATGACGTCATGATACTTTTTGGTATCCATCGTCAAAACGTCGTCAAACCGAAGTAGGGAGATGTCTATTCTGTTTCAGATGCCCAGTAACGATGAATTCTGAATACCCAGATGACGTCATGAATACTTTTTGGTATCCATCGTCAAAACGTCGTCAAACCGAAGTAGGGAGATGTCTATTCTGTTTCAGATGCCCAGTAACGATGAATTCTGAATACCCAGATGACGTCATGATACTTTTTGGTATCCATCGTCAAAACGTCGTCAAACCGAAGTAGGGAGATGTCTATTCTGTTTCAGATGCCCAGTAACGATGAATTCTGAATACCCAGATGACGTCATGATACTTTTTGGTATCCATCGTCAAAACGTCGTCAAACCGAAGTAGGGAGATGTCTATTCTGTTTCAGATGCCCAGTAACGATGAATTCTGAATACCCAGATGACGTCAGAATACTTTTTAGTATCCATCGTCAAAACGTCGTCAAACCGAAGTAGGGAGATGTCTATTCTGTTTCAGATGCCCAGTAACGATGAATTCTGAATACCCAGATGACGTCAGAATACTTTTTAGTATCCATCGTCAAAACGTCGTCAAACCGAAGTAGGGAGATGTCTATTCTGTTTCAGATGCCCAGTAACGATGAATTCTGAATACCCAGATGACGTCATGATACTTTTTGGTATCCATCGTCAAAACGTCGTCAAACCGAAGTAGGGAGATGTCTATTCTGTTTCAGATGCCCAGTAACGATGAATTCTGAATACCCAGATGACGTCAGAATACTTTTTAGTATCCATCGTCAAAACGTCGTCAAACCGAAGTAGGGAGATGTCTATTCTGTTTCAGATGCCCAGTAACGATGAATTCTGAATACCCAGATGACGTCATGATACTTTTTGGTATCCATCGTCAAAACGTCGTCAAACCGAAGTAGGGAGATGTCTATTCTGTTTCAGATGCCCAGTAACGATGAATTCTGAATACCCAGATGACGTCATGATACTTTTTGGTATCCATCGTCAAAACGTCGTCAAACCGAAGTAGGGAGATGTCTATTCTGTTTCAGATGCCCAGTAACGATGAATTCTGAATACCCAGATGACGTCAGAATACTTTTTAGTATCCATCGTCAAAACGTCGTCAAACCGAAGTAGGGAGATGTCTATTCTGTTTCAGATGCCCAGTAACGATGAATTCTGAATACCCAGATGACGTCAGAATACTTTTTAGTATCCATCGTCAAAACGTCGTCAAACCGAAGTAGGGAGATGTCTATTCTGTTTCAGATGCCCAGTAACGATGAATTCTGAATACCCAGATGACGTCATGATACTTTTTGGTATCCATCGTCAAAACGTCGTCAAACCGAAGTAGGGAGATGTCTATTCTGTTTCAGATGCCCAGTAACGATGAATTCTGAATACCCAGATGACGTCAGAATACTTTTTAGTATCCATCGTCAAAACGTCGTCAAACCGAAGTAGGGAGATGTCTATTCTGTTTCAGATGCCCAGTAACGATGAATTCTGAATACCCAGATGACGTCATGATACTTTTTGGTATCCATCGTCAAAACGTCGTCAAACCGAAGTAGGGAGATGTCTATTCTGTTTCAGATGCCCAGTAACGATGAATTCTGAATACCCAGATGACGTCATGATACTTTTTGGTATCCATCGTCAAAACGTCGTCAAACCGAAGTAGGGAGATGTCTATCCTGTTTCAGATGCCCAGTAACGATGAATTCTGAATACCCAGATGACGTCAGAATACTTTTTAGTATCCATCGTCAAAACGTCGTCAAACCGAAGTAGGGAGATGTCTATTCTGTTTCAGATGCCCAGTAACGATGAATTCTGAATACCCAGATGACGTCAGAATACTTTTTAGTATCCATCGTCAAAACGTCGTCAAACCGAAGTAGGGAGATGTCTATTCTGTTTCAGATGCCCAGTAACGATGAATTCTGAATACCCAGATGACGTCAGAATACTTTTTTAGTATCCATCGTCAAAACGTCGTCAAACCGAAGTAGGGAGATGTCTATTCTGTTTCAGATGCCCAGTAACGATGAATTCTGAATACCCAGATGACGTCAGAATACTTTTTAGTATCCATCGTCAAAACGTCGTCAAACCGAAGTAGGGAGATGTCTATTCTGTTTCAGATGCCCAGTAACGATGAATTCTGAATACCCAGATGACGTCATGATACTTTTTGGTATCCATCGTCAAAACGTCGTCAAACCGAAGTAGGGAGATGTCTATTCTGTTTCAGATGCCCAGTAACGATGAATTCTGAATACCCAGATGACGTCAGAATACTTTTTAGTATCCATCGTCAAAACGTCGTCAAACCGAAGTAGGGAGATGTCTATTCTGTTTCAGATGCCCAGTAACGATGAATTCTGAATACCCAGATGACGTCATGATACTTTTTGGTATCCATCGTCAAAACGTCGTCAAACCGAAGTAGGGAGATGTCTATTCTGTTTCAGATGCCCAGTAACGATGAATTCTGAATACCCAGATGACGTCAGAATACTTTTTTAGTATCCATCGTCAAAACGTCGTCAAACCGAAGTAGGGAGATGTCTATTCTGTTTCAGATGCCCAGTAACGATGAATTCTGAATACCCAGATGACGTCAGAATACTTTTTGGTATCCATCGTCAAAACGTCGTCAAACCGAAGTAGGGAGATGTCTATTCTGTTTCAGATGCCCAGTAACGATGAATTCTGAATACCCAGATGACGTCAGAATACTTTTTAGTATCCATCGTCAAAACGTCGTCAAACCGAAGTAGGGAGATGTCTATTCTGTTTCAGATGCCCAGTAACGATGAATTCTGAATACCCAGATGACGTCAGAATACTTTTTAGTATCCATCGTCAAAACGTCGTCAAACCGAAGTAGGGAGATGTCTATTCTGTTTCAGATGCCCAGTAACGATGAATTCTGAATACCCAGATGACGTCATGATACTTTTTGGTATCCATCGTCAAAACGTCGTCAAACCGAAGTAGGGAGATGTCTATTCTGTTTCAGATGCCCAGTAACGATGAATTCTGAATACCCAGATGACGTCAGAATACTTTTTAGTATCCATCGTCAAAACGTCGTCAAACCGAAGTAGGGAGATGTCTATTCTGTTTCAGATGCCCAGTAACGATGAATTCTGAATACCCAGATGACGTCAGAATACTTTTTAGTATCCATCGTCAAAACGTCGTCAAACCGAAGTAGGGAGATGTCTATTCTGTTTCAGATGCCCAGTAACGATGAATTCTGAATACCCAGATGACGTCATGATACTTTTTGGTATCCATCGTCAAAACGTCGTCAAACCGAAGTAGGGAGATGTCTATTCTGTTTCAGATGCCCAGTAACGATGAATTCTGAATACCCAGATGACGTCATGATACTTTTTGGTATCCATCGTCAAAACGTCATCAAACCGAAGTAGGGAGATGTCTATTCTGTTTCAGATGCCCAGTAACGATGAATTCTGAATACCCAGATGACGTCATGATACTTTTTGGTATCCATCGTCAAAACGTCGTCAAACCGAAGTAGGGAGATGTCTATTCTGTTTCAGATGCCCAGTAACGATGAATTCTGAATACCCAGATGACGTCATGATACTTTTTGGTATCCATCGTCAAAACGTCGTCAAACCGAAGTAGGGAGATGTCTATTCTGTTTCAGATGCCCAGTAACGATGAATTCTGAATACCCAGATGACGTCAGAATACTTTTTAGTATCCATCGTCAAAACGTCGTCAAACCGAAGTAGGGAGATGTCTATTCTGTTTCAGATGCCCAGTAACGATGAATTCTGAATACCCAGATGGCGTCAGAATACTTTTTAGTATCCATCGTCAAAACGTCGTCAAACCGAAGTAGGGAGATGTCTATTCTGTTTCAGATGCCCAGTAACGATGAATTCTGAATACCCAGATGACGTCAAGATACTTTTCAGAATCCATCGTCAAAACGTCGTCAAACCGAAGTAGGGAGATGTCTATTCTGTTTCAGATGCCCAGTAACGATGAATTCTGAATACCCAGATGACGTCAAGATACTTTTCAGAATCCATCGTCAAAACGTCGTCAAACCGAAGTAGGGAGATGTCTATTCTGTTTCAGATGCCCAGTAACGATGAATTCTGAATACCCAGATGACGTCAGAATACTTTTTAGTATCCATCGTCAAAACGTCGTCAAACCGAAGTAGGGAGATGTCTATTCTGTTTCAGATGCCCAGTAACGATGAATTCTGAATACCCAGATGACGTCAGAATACTTTTTAGTATCCATCGTCAAAACGTCGTCAAACCGAAGTAGGGAGATGTCTATTCTGTTTCAGATGCCCAGTAACGATGAATTCTGAATACCCAGATGACGTCAGAATACTTTTTGGTATCCATCGTCAAAACGTCGTCAAACCGAAGTAGGGAGATGTCTATTCTGTTTCAGATGCCCAGTAACGATGAATTCTGAATACCCAGATGACGTCAGAATACTTTTTGGTATCCATCGTCAGACGTCGTCAAACCGAAGTAGGGAGATGTCTATTCTGTTTCAGATGCCTAGTAACGATGAATTCTGAATACCCAGATGACCTCAGAATACTTTTTAGTATCCATCGTCAAAACGTCGTCAAACCGAAGTAGGGAGATGTCTATTCTGTTTCAGATGCCCAGTAACGATGAATTCTGAATACCCAGATGACGTCAGAATACTTTTTAGTATCCATCGTCAAAACGTCGTCAAACCGAAGTAGGGAGATGTCTATTCTGTTTCAGATGCCCAGTAACGATGAATTCTGAATACCCAGATGACGTCAAGATACTTTTCAGAATCCATCGTCAAAACGTCGTCAAACCGAAGTAGGGAGATGTCTATTCTGTTTCAGATGCCCAGTAACGATGAATTCTGAATACCCAGATGACGTCAAGATACTTTTTAGAATCCATCGTCAAAACGTCGTCAAACCGAAGTAGGGAGATGTCTATTCTGTTTCAGATGCCCAGTAACGATGAATTCTGAATACCCAGATGACGTCAGAATACTTTTTAGTATCCATCGTCAAAACGTCGTCAAACCGAAGTAGGGAGATGTCTATTCTGTTTCAGATGCCCAGTAACGATGAATTCTGAATACCCAGATGACGTCAGAATACTTTTTAGTATCCATCGTCAAAACGTCGTCAAACCGAAGTAGGGAGATGTCTATTCTGTTTCAGATGCCTAGTAACGATGAATTCTGAATACCCAGATGACGTCAGAATACTTTTTAGTATCCATCGTCAAAACGTCGTCAAACCGAAGTAGGGAGATGTCTATTCTGTTTCAGATGCCCAGTAACGATGAATTCTGAATACCCAGATGACGTCAGAATACTTTTTGGTATCCATCGTCAAAACGTCGTCAAACCGAAGTAGGGAGATGTCTATTCTGTTTCAGATGCCCAGTAACGATGAATTCTGAATACCCAGATGACGTCAGAATACTTTTTGGTATCCATCGTCAAAACGTCGTCAAACCGAAGTAGGGAGATGTCTATTCTGTTTCAGATGCCCAGTAACGATGAATTCTGAATACCCAGATGACGTCAGAATACTTTTTAGTATCCATCGTCAAAACGTCGTCAAACCGAAGTAGGGAGATGTCTATTCTGTTTCAGATGCCCAGTAACGATGAATTCTGAATACCCAGATGACGTCAGAATACTTTTTAGTATCCATCGTCAAAACGTCGTCAAACCGAAGTAGGGAGATGTCTATTCTGTTTCAGATGCCCAGTAACGATGAATTCTGAATACCCAGATGACGTCAGAATACTTTTTAGTATCCATCGTCAAAACGTCGTCAAACCGAAGTAGGGAGATGTCTATTCTGTTTCAGATGCCCAGTAACGATGAATTCTGAATACCCAGATGACGTCAGAATACTTTTTAGTATCCATCGTCAAAACGTCGTCAAACCGAAGTAGGGAGATGTCTATTCTGTTTCAGATGCCTAGTAACGATGAATTCTGAATACCCAGATGACGTCAGAATACTTTTTGGTATCCATCGTCAAACGTCGTCAAACCGAAGTAGGGAGATGTCTATTCTGTTTCAGATGCCCAGTAACGATGAATTCTGAATACCCAGATGACGTCAGAATACTTTTTAGTATCCATCGTCAAAACGTCGTCAAACCGAAGTAGGGAGATGTCTATTCTGTTTCAGATGCCCAGTAACGATGAATTCTGAATACCCAGATGACGTCATGATACTTTTTGGTATCCATCGTCAAAACGTCGTCAAACCGAAGTAGGGAGATGTCTATTCTGTTTCAGATGCCCAGTAACGATGAATTCTGAATACCCAGATGACGTCAGAATACTTTTTAGTATCCATCGTCAAAACGTCGTCAAACCGAAGTAGGGAGATGTCTATTCTGTTTCAGATGCCCAGTAACGATGAATTCTGAATACCCAGATGACGTCATGATACTTTTTGGTATCCATCGTCAAAACGTCGTCAAACCGAAGTAGGGAGATGTCTATTCTGTTTCAGATGCCCAGTAACGATGAATTCTGAATACCCAGATGACGTCATGATACTTTTTGGTATCCATCGTCAAAACGTCGTCAAACCGAAGTAGGGAGATGTCTATTCTGTTTCAGATGCCCAGTAACGATGAATTCTGAATACCCAGATGACGTCATGATACTTTTTGGTATCCATCGTCAAAACGTCGTCAAACCGAAGTAGGGAGATGTCTATTCTGTTTCAGATGCCCAGTAACGATGAATTCTGAATACCCAGATGACGTCAGAATACTTTTTAGTATCCATCGTCAAAACGTCGTCAAACCGAAGTAGGGAGATGTCTATTCTGTTTCAGATGCCCGGTAACGATGAATTCTGAATACCCAGATGACGTCAGAATACTTTTTAGTATCCATCGTCAAAACGTCGTCAAACCGAAGTAGGGAGATGTCTATTCTGTTTCAGATGCCCAGTAACGATGAATTCTGAATACCCAGATGACGTCAGAATACTTTTTAGTATCCATCGTCAAAACGTCGTCAAACCGAAGTAGGGAGATGTCTATTCTGTTTCAGATGCCCAGTAACGATGAATTCTGAATACCCAGATGACGTCATGATACTTTTTGGTATCCATCGTCAAAACGTCGTCAAACCGAAGTAGGGAGATGTCTATTCTGTTTCAGATGCCCAGTAACGATGAATTCTGAATACCCAGATGACGTCATGATACTTTTTGGTATCCATCGTCAAAACGTCGTCAAACCGAAGTAGGGAGATGTCTATTCTGTTTCAGATGCCCAGTAACGATGAATTCTGAATACCCAGATGACGTCATGATACTTTTTGGTATCCATCGTCAAAACGTCGTCAAACCGAAGTAGGGAGATGTCTATTCTGTTTCAGATGCCCAGTAACGATGAATTCTGAATACCCAGATGACGTCATGATACTTTTTGGTATCCATCGTCAAAACGTCGTCAAACCGAAGTAGGGAGATGTCTATTCTGTTTCAGATGCCCGGTAACGATGAATTCTGAATACCCAGATGACGTCAGAATACTTTTTTAGCATCCATCGTCAAAACGTCGTCAAACCGAAGTAGGGAGATGTCTATTCTGTTTCAGATGCCCAGTAACGATGAATTCTGAATACCCAGATGACGTCATGATACTTTTTGGTATCCATCGTCAAAACGTCGTCAAACCGAAGTAGGGAGATGTCTATTCTGTTTCAGATGCCCAGTAACGATGAATTCTGAATACCCAGATGACGTCATGATACTTTTTGGTATCCATCGTCAAAACGTCGTCAAACCGAAGTAGGGAGATGTCTATTCTGTTTCAGATGCCCAGTAACGATGAATTCTGAATACCCAGATGACGTCATGATACTTTTTGGTATCCATCGTCAAAACGTCGTCAAACCGAAGTAGGGAGATGTCTATTCTGTTTCAGATGCCCAGTAACGATGAATTCTGAATACCCAGATGACGTCAGAATACTTTTTAGTATCCATCGTCAAAACGTCGTCAAACCGAAGTAGGGAGATGTCTATTCTGTTTCAGATGCCCGGTAACGATGAATTCTGAATACCCAGATGACGTCAGAATACTTTTTAGTATCCATCGTCAAAACGTCGTCAAACCGAAGTAGGGAGATGTCTATTCTGTTTCAGATGCCCAGTAACGATGAATTCTGAATACCCAGATGACGTCATGATACTTTTTGGTATCCATCGTCAAAACGTCGTCAAACCGAAGTAGGGAGATGTCTATTCTGTTTCAGATGCCCAGTAACGATGAATTCTGAATACCCAGATGACGTCAGAATACTTTTTTAGTATCCATCGTCAAAACGTCGTCAAACCGAAGTAGGGAGATGTCTATTCTGTTTCAGATGCCCAGTAACGATGAATTCTGAATACCCAGATGACGTCATGATACTTTTTGGTATCCATCGTCAAAACGTCGTCAAACCGAAGTAGGGAGATGTCTATTCTGTTTCAGATGCCCAGTAACGATGAATTCTGAATACCCAGATGACGTCAGAATACTTTTTAGTATCCATCGTCAAAACGTCGTCAAACCGAAGTAGGGAGATGTCTATTCTGTTTCAGATGCCCAGTAACGATGAATTCTGAATACCCAGATGACGTCATGATACTTTTTGGTATCCATCGTCAAAACGTCGTCAAACCGAAGTAGGGAGATGTCTATTCTGTTTCAGATGCCCAGTAACGATGAATTCTGAATACCCAGATGACGTCATGATACTTTTTGGTATCCATCGTCAAAACGTCGTCAAACCGAAGTAGGGAGATGTCTATTCTGTTTCAGATGCCCGGTAACGATGAATTCTGAATACCCAGATGACGTCAGAATACTTTTTAGTATCCATCGTCAAAACGTCGTCAAACCGAAGTAGGGAGATGTCTATTCTGTTTCAGATGCCCAGTAACGATGAATTCTGAATACCCAGATGACGTCATGATACTTTTTTGGTATCCATCGTCAAAACGTCGTCAAACCGAAGTAGGGAGATGTCTATTCTGTTTCAGATGCCCAGTAACGATGAATTCTGAATACCCAGATGACGTCATGATACTTTTTGGTATCCATCGTCAAAACGTCGTCAAACCGAAGTAGGGAGATGTCTATTCTGTTTCAGATGCCCAGTAACGATGAATTCTGAATACCCAGATGACGTCATGATACTTTTTGGTATCCATCGTCAAAACGTCGTCAAACCGAAGTAGGGAGATGTCTATTCTGTTTCAGATGCCCAGTAACGATGAATTCTGAATACCCAGATGACGTCAGAATACTTTTTAGTATCCATCGTCAAAACGTCGTCAAACCGAAGTAGGGAGATGTCTATTCTGTTTCAGATGCCCAGTAACGATGAATTCTGAATACCCAGATGACGTCATGATACTTTTTGGTATCCATCGTCAAAACGTCGTCAAACCGAAGTAGGGAGATGTCTATTCTGTTTCAGATGCCCAGTAACGATGAATTCTGAATACCCAGATGACGTCATGATACTTTTTGGTATCCATCGTCAAAACGTCGTCAAACCGAAGTAGGGAGATGTCTATTCTGTTTCAGATGCCCAGTAACGATGAATTCTGAATACCCAGATGACGTCAGAATACTTTTTAGTATCCATCGTCAAAACGTCGTCAAACCGAAGTAGGGAGATGTCTATTCTGTTTCAGATGCCCAGCAGGGTTGGTCATTCTGAGAGCCGGCGCTGAGCCGGAGCTGAGCGGGAGCAGGAGCCGAGCGTCGTCAAAACGAGGTAAGGAGAAGGAAAATTTTCAGCTCCCGCTCAGCTCCAGCTCGTGAGCCGGCTCTTTTGGAAAAGAGCGGGAGCCCACCCCGCTCTACCCCACCGGATGCTGCAAAGTAGTTATTTATGCAAATCTCCCAAAATTCCAATAAAACTGAATATTTCTGGCCTTGCATTGCCTTATTTGCATAGGTATCTGATTTGCAGAATCCGGTTTGAGTTGAGGTGGGGTTCGGCTCTCGCTCTTTTTTAAAAGAGCCGGCTCAAGAGCCGGAGCTGAGCGGGAGCTGAGGATATTCAGCTCCCGCTCCCAGCTCCCGCTCTTTTCGTGACCAACCCTGATGCCCAGTAACGATGAATTCTGAATACCCAGATGACGTCAAGATACTTTTAAACACCGCCCTTTTAAAGTGCTCAAATCAACCCCTTTGATCGACGCGGTCTCGATAGTCACGCTGCACTCCAAAATACGCTAGCATCGCAAGACGCAGACGCAAGAAAATTTTGATGCACTAATCAAAAAACCAGCGCCGCAGACGGAAACTTTTGAAAAAATAGACTTCGTCGAAGTGAAAACTGTCTTGAAAACAGTTATAAACAGCGCCGCAAGCAGAAAAAAATTGTTAAAAAATCATAAGGGTCTACCCTTATGAACTTTTCGGACCTTGACCGACTTCGGACGCTCCTACGGGCCTGGCTACATATGATACGTCATTAGGTGCGTAATGGCCCCAAGATGACTGCTCGCTTAAGGAGGCGTTTTTGAGTGTCGTCGGGACTTCGGCATGGGACCAGGCCTATCGGGTGCAGAATTTTACGCTGATTCCGAATATGGTAACCGTTTTTGCGGAATAGCCATTTCTCGGAAGTGATGAACAATTTAAACCTCAAAACAGCCCAAAATCGACTACTTTCGATAGTCATAAAAGGCTTCGGAATAGGTTTTAGACAAAACCAGATAGTGCAGCTTGTTCAGAAAAAAATTCTCTAAAAAATTTACCATTTTCTCCAAAATCATTGAAAATTTGGAAAAATTTTATAAATTGGGAGCCCCATAATTTTACAAAAATTTCAAAATTCCAACATTTTTGAGTTAAAAGGCCGTCCGCCGGTCACTCGAACAGCCCCCATTATGGCTTGGCACAGTTTTTTTCGACCCCGTTTTTTTGATGCCATGTGAAAGAGCATGGTCGAATTAGCATTAGAATTAGCTTTTCTAAAATGAAGATAAACCATCGCAAAATGTATAAGAAAGCTTATTTTCCAACAGATGTAAATGAAGTCCCATATAAAAACTAGCCTAAACCAAATGGGAAACAGCCAAAATGACGACATTCAAAATGACGACAGCCAAAATGACGACAGCCAGAATAGCGACAGTCAGAATGACGACAGCCATAATGACGACAGCCAAAATAGCGACAGCCAAAATGACGACAGCCGAAATAGCGACAGCCAAAATGACGACGGCCAAAATAGCGACAGCCAAAATGACGACATTCAAAATGCCGACATGCAAAAATTTGATTTTTCCCAGCTATTATGGCTGATTTTGCATGTCGTCATTTTGAATGTCGTCATTTTGCATGTCGCTATTTTGGCTGTCGCTATTTTGGCTGTCGTCATTATGGCTGTCGTCATTCTGGCTGTCGTCATTTTGGCTGTCGTCATTCTGGCTGTCGTCATTTTGGATGTCGCCATTTTGGCTGTCGCTATTTTGGCTGTCGTCATTATGGCTGTCGTCATTCTGGCTGTCGCTATTCTGGCTGTCGTCATTTTGGCTGTCGTCATTTTGGATGTCGCCATTTTGGCTGTCGCTATTTTGGCTGTCGTCATTTTGGCTGTCGTCATTCTGGCTGTCGCTATTCTGGCTGTCGTCATTTCGAATGTCGTCATTTTGGCCAGAAATCAAACCAAATAAACCAAACCAAAGCAACAAAGAGCAAAAAGAAATTCCCTTCCGACGCGAAACTGGCGATTTGCCGGGATCGAACCCGCGATGGTTTGCCTGGGGGCACAGGGGACAGCCACTAGTGGGCGCCGCCAGGTCCCAGGCGAACGACCCGAGTTCAATCCCAGCCCCCTCTCAGAAGCCGAAATTCTTTTTGCTCTTTTTTGCGATCGGTATGATTTCGTCCCTAGAAATCGGGGAACGTTTTCTATATTTGCGATTTTTGAATTTTTTGAGCTGAGGCTCCGTAAATAGGATTTTTCGTCATGATGGAAAACTTGCTGCATCGTAAAAAATACACCATTCGATGAAGAAAATTTTTGCGCATCTTTTGATGTTACTTTCAGCTTACAGCAAACTTTCCATCATAACGAAAACCCGAAAAAACTGTTTTGACTACGCGATATTCCTATGTTCTGGCCATTTTCGTGCTTCATAATGTATTACAAAAATGATCAGCACCCCAAATTAGGTATTATCCCGAAGTTTCAGTCAGTTCTGCCCAGTGAGCTCCGAAATAGTTTTTCGGGGTACGCAACTTTAACAGCCGTTTAAACCCCAAAAACAAACTTATTAAACTTTCAAAACTATACAGTCCTACTAATTCGACCATGCTCTTTCACATGGCATCAAAAAAACGGGGTCGAAAAAAACTGTGCCAAGCCTGGTTCTGACGGCTCGCAAACGGTCTTTTAAGTAGCTTATTTTATAGAGAATTTTTTTCTGAAAAGGATGCACTATCTGGTTTTGTGTAAAACCTATTCCGAAGCCTTTTATGACTATCGAAAGTAGCCGATTTTGGGCTGTTTTGAGGTTTAAATTGTTCATAACTTTAAAGAAATTGCCATTCCGCAAAAACGGCTACCATATTCGGAATCAGCATAAAATTCTGCACAAGATAGGCCTGTGCCAAAGTACTGACGACACTCAAAAACGCCTCCTTGTTAGCAGATTGCGCAAATTGTGCTATTTTCGACATTAAAATCAGGTTTTGTTCAAAAATCGAGCACCACTCATGTTTTTAAAGAAATAACCACGGTTGAAAAGCCGCTTCGCGACTTTTCAACCCTGGCCCCGTCTAACCCCATTTTATCCTTCACTTTACATAATTGTCCTGAATTCAGATGACAAAAATGAAAATCAACTTCTTCTGTGCCTTTATATAGCCAAATCACCACTTCCCGTCTATGTCAATTTTTTTCTAACAGAGAAGCTTTCACAAAAACTTAAATTTAATGTCGAAAATGGCTGATTTTGTAAAGTTTGATATGTGTGCAGTCATCTCAAGACCATTGCGCACCCAATGACGTATAAAACATACCCGTAACTTCATCCCCTATCGAGAGATCCTCCGGACAGACAGACGGAAGTGGATGCAAAGTGGCACACACACAGACCACAGCGGCCCGGCTCCTAATAAAACGTCCGGTAGCTTTGGAAAGGAGGGAAGACCGCAACGCGTGCGATAGACGCGTCGCGCAATTGCGAAAGCAGGCCTGCGCAGCTAAAAACCGGTTGCTACTCCGCGCACCCGCACGCAACGCGCGAAAAACACGCACAGTACGCCCTTTCCCTTGAACCATCTGGACCGAACCCTTGGGCGGTTGTGAGACACTATTTTTTTATATATAGTAGGATTAGCGTTCATCGGAAATTGCGGGAGCCTATAATGAGAGATAGAGTGACGTTTTTCAATTTTTCTCATAGAAACGTTTGCAGAGTGAAGAATATTATAAGGTTAGAGGCGGTCCAGGTCGAAAAGTCGCGAAGCGGCTTTTCAATCCTGGTATGTCTATAAAATAATGTCTTTGCGCCTCTCCACAGGGCATGCTCTCTGCCCTGTTGGCTCCATGCCAATTTGTTGATCGCCAGACGCCGTCGGCAGTCCTTGAATGACTCGAATTCTTATCACGGGCCCGTGGAAATTACCGCTGACCTAGCAGATGGTAGAATGGCTCGCCAGGCGTCGCCGGGAAAATCTTGGCCAAAACCTATGCATTCCTTTTCACCCCCTTTTGGCCTTTGACCCCGCTGGCATTTACGTTGTGTAATGCCAACTTAGACAATTTGGCGTTTTGTATTGTTTCCGCGCCTTCATAAACGGCATAGGTATAGTCAGGTATAGTCATTATCAGGCTTGGACCCAACGGTATCGATATCGGTATCGCATGGTATCGTATCGGCAACGGTATCGGAATTTGCATCCCGATACGATACCGATACAGATGCCGACACCGATACCCGTCGATAGTATCGGTATCGGAAACTGCAAAACGGTAATTCAAATTAGCCAAATTGCAAATTCTGTCATTTGGAGGGCAAAATACCCAGGAAAAGCTCGATAAACCGACCGTCCCGCACGGTGTACAATGAGCAAATGTGTAAATTTTATGTCAATCCAGCCTGTAAAGCATGAGTTTCATCGCCGATACCGATACTATCGACCGGTATCGGTACCGGTATCGTATCGTATCGCATCGGTAAGCAAATTTAGATACCGACCCCCCCTCCACAATTTGAACTGCGAATTGCAAAGCAGAGTTTTGATTCCGAATCCGGTTGGGCGGACAGACGGACATTAGAAATTGATGTATAGTAGATACCGATACCCGATATCGATACAGATACTTTCCGATACTATCGGGTCCAAGCCTGGTCATTATCCATTGCCGTCCGCAGATAGAAATATCGTATAAAACCAGTGTTTTATCGCGCGGCTACCTATTTTCCCGAGCATTATGTGTTCCTTGGAAAAAAAGTTATTTCTTGGCATTTATTTTCATTCAGGCCTTATTTGATGATTGCGCTTGGTCAATTGCCTTCCGTCCTCGTCTTCAGGGTCGTCGACCAGCTGTCCATTCTCGAGCACCTCCTCTTGCAGCGTGTCACGAAAGGGCTACGGTAGTTTTGCGGTTATTTAACGGGACTAGAGATGGAAGTTCGCATGTTTGGGAGGATGCTTGCCCGGCAAAAAAACTCAGCTGGGGGGCGGCGAAACTGAACACGACCCCGATTTGGCTTTTAATGTGCGTTCAGTTTGTTACAATATTGCTTCCAGATCGATCGTCAATTCACGATGTCTTTTGCCACGAACAATGCGGTACATTCAACTCGACGCTGTGATCAACGAAGAGGAGGATGTCGTCCAAAGAAAGGAGACGGAGCGCGAGGTTGGTGCTTTGCGCGCACGACCGCGTCAGGGGGTGGGAGGAAGACAGTTTGGCGACCCCGACCCTCGCTAGGGTGCCACGACATTTGAGGCCCGACACTTGCGGCCCGACATTTGCGGCCGCGACAGTTGCGGCCCGACACTTGCGGCCCGTCACTTGCGCCCGACAGTTGCGGCCCGACATTTGCGGCCCGATAATTGCGGCCCAAGACTTTAATTAATCACACGCCTGAAGCTTTTAACCGTCCGGAAGGCTAGTTTTCTGAACGGTTTTGTTCGCTTATTTCATAATCTTTACCTAAAAATAAGGCTTCGTGCCACTCGGGGCCTAGTCGCTTCGGATGGATGCGAGCTCGTACAGGGTTTCGAAATCGGGGCGCCCGAGGCACGCGTAGCGGCAAGGCGCCCCGATTTCGAAAGAGTGGCGCGGCAGCCCATCCGAAGCGACGGCCCGCCTTGCCCGAAAATGCGTTAGACCCTTAGTAATCCTTTTTTTTAATTGTATATTGGGAAAAACGGGCTTAATAGGACGTGCCGCAAATGTCGAGCGCAAGTGTCGGGCCGCAAATGTCGGGCCGGAAATATCGCGTCCGCAAATGTCGAGCGCAAGTGACAGGCCGCAAATGTCGGGCCGCAAGTGTCGGGCCGCAAATGTCGGGCCGGAAATATCGCGTCCGCAAATGTCGGGCGCAAGTGACAGGCCGCAAATGTCGGGCCGCAAGTGTCGGGCCGCAAATGTCGGGCCGGAAATATCGCGTCCGCAAATGTCGGGCGCAAGTGACAGGCCGCAAATGTCGGGCCGCAAGTGTCGGGCCGCAAATGTCGGGCCGGAAATATCGCGTCCGCAAATGTCGGGCGCAAGTGACAGGCCGCAAATGTCGGGCCGCAAGTGTCGGGGAGCCCTCGCTAGGCGCCTTCGGCGTTGGGCGCAAATGTCGGTGAGCACGTCTGCGTGAGCGAAAATGTTGTTGGCGCTTTTGGTTTGGCGCTTTTGACACCCTCCCATTCATTTTGCCGATTTTCACTATACCGGTTTTTAATGTATACGGCCGCATTCAATTCCCGCATCCAGCACACCGGCAATTCCTTCCGGTGTGCTGGATATGCATAGCAAGGAAATTCGGCCAGGTGAAAATTCGGCATAGAAACATTAGAACGAACACGTTTTGGCACACGCCTAGTGACTTTTTTTTGAGGTACGGTTGTTCGCAGTGAGGATGGTATTTTGCGATCGACATGATTATCGAATCAGTGTATACCGTGCTAATTGGATCGAAATCAGCTATGGTCCGGGGCAGACGAGGATCGGGTATGTACCGGCAGCGGTGGTAAATTTGAAGACTTGGTAGAGTCTAGTTTATCCTCGCCCACCCCCACCGCCAGCCCCAACTTTTTAGCCAGACGTCCTATTAATGTACCAAATGTCTTCAAGTCGAACCTCTAGGGCCCTGTTGTTCTATTACGTCAACAATCGCTAGAAAATTTCAAGACTTTAAAAGTTTAAAAGGTTTCCAACTCGAATAGTTGTATTTTCCGCATTTTCCGACTAAAACCTACGGTAGTATTACTCTACCGATCAAGGGCTATATTTTGGTGCTTGCCTTGCCAGCTCTGTAAGTCCAAACGAGAGCCGAGACACGAAAACTAGCTTTAGACCAGGAAAAGAAACCCAGACACCCCAGACGGAGACGTATAAGTGTTATAAAAATATTTTCAGCCATATATGGCTGAAAAGTTGGGTGGTTGGGGGTAGGGCGCAAATAAGGTGTTTTGTCGATTTCACGGGAATTTTGGAGGATTTTGACCTCGATATGGTTAGCAAAAATGAAAAGGTCAGCCTCTTATACAAACGAAATTTTTTTATTGATGAAATTGTCTAAATCGGGACTTTTAATAGCTTTGTTTTGTCAAAATCGTCAGAAGTCAAGCCGAAAATGACCGTTTTTCGGCACATTACTCAAAATACGCATGCTAATTGCGTAAACATAATCCAAGACCATTACCAGCTGTTGAAAAAAACAAGTTTTTTGACGGTTTCCCATTTTTGTTTTATTTTTTTTTTGCTGGACCACAATAGATCCTCTTTCGCCCCGGCTTTGGAGGATCACAACATTTTTATAATATCGTTTGATTTGGGCCTGGTCGGAAACAGACGCGTTTCCAGGGTCTTCCCTATGTCGTTTAGCCGTTTCCTCGACCTGCTGCCCAAAGATTACCTGGCTACAAAGGATCTCTCCTATATTATTGTAAAGAAAGACGTAAGTTCGTTAGCAAAAGTATTCCGGTCACTTCGCCTAAAAATTGTTGCCCGCCTTCAGAGAAAACTTTTAGACCAAAAATCAACCCTTTTCGAAATGTTTGGAATTAACTTGTTAATTTTGTTGACATTATTCTTGGGAAACTTTATTCACAGCCTTGTCAATTGCTTTGATAAGTGATTTGACCAAGAACTTTTTGAATTATGCCAAAAATGAATAGAACAATCGAAAAATTTCAAAAATTGTGGTCTTTCGGGGAAAATTCAGCGTCCTAGGCTTAAAGGGGCTCAGAAGTCAAAATTCGTGCGTGCGGGGATTGAACCTACGGGTCAAAAACGCAAGGGTCACTGCCGAGAAGTGCCACAAAATGTGATTTAATTGCCAAAAAACGTAAAATATTTGAGAAAATCCGGGTTCTTTCTGGGGCGAAAACGACATCTTGAGTGCGCGGCGATTACCTGTCGTAATGCCTTGTAAGACACCCAATCTCTCGATCTCGGCGATTCCCTGGTCAATTTTCATAATTTAAAAGTCTAGAATGATCAAAATTTGGTGAAGATTCCAAAAATAGCGGCAGGATTTTTTTAATTCAAGCGTTTTCGCGTCCAAACAGTGGCAAAAGACTAGGCGGCGCGGTCGCATTGCGGCGGCATCTGGCTATTTGCCAGGAATCACAGCAGGGGGCCGTGGACCAGATTTCGGAGCCCCTTTAAGCCTAACGATAAGCCTAAGCCTAAACCTAATAGAAAGTATAAGGAAGCTTATATAACTCTAAAAGAGTTATATAACGCCAAAGACGAAATTCGAGAAAAAGGTATAATGATAGTATATATATGGCTTCATTCACCCCTAGCGGGTAGATGAAGTCTGATTATAACTACTATTTAGGAGACGCGCAGGACTGCAGGAGCTGACAACTTCCAAGCCGTTGATGCAAGTTTCACCAAGGCCGTTGAAAGGCGTTAGAACTAGTAGTAATTACCCTCCCGTAGACTAGGTATCGACAGCTGCGGCAAACACCAGGAGGCGCGTGCAAAGTACCCGCGTGCATCAATGAAAATTCTCTAACAGTAACTGTCTTTTTGATGACCGTGGGATTTCGATGCGCGAGGTTGCAGCACATCCGTGCTCGACCAAATCCGTTTTCAAAAGTTGCAGAAGCCTTCTGGTTTCAAAGTTACAACCGTTAGGCGCAGAATGACAGAAATTCGTCGACTATAACTCGAAATTCGAAGGGTTCGGGTTTCCTTTTTTAATTGTAGGAAAACGTGCTATTTTGGATCGACTACCTCAGGCACCCGTAGCTCAAATCTCATAGCAATTAGAAAATTGCCCATCTAGGGCAAGAGGACACCAAAAACTTTTTTTATTTCCGCTCGAAAACGGTGGTAATTTTTGTCGAGTAGACTTGCGCAACTATTGACAACGGATTCGGAAAAAAAATCTGCACACGACGGGGGCCATCTCACGTATCGAAATTCTGCCGTCATCCAAAAAGTCTACAGTAAGGGCTACCAAAATGAGATTGGCAAGCATGTCGCGTAGCTGTCGAGACCTAGTCGTTCGCTGGGGTCGAATCATCGGCTTTCTAGACCCGTTAAAGGGACGGTGGCAGCACTGCCCATTACGACATGTTGGGGGCCGGGCAGAGGCGCAGAGTTCTGTCTACGTCTCTGCTCCGGGGGCGCATTTTCTCTAACTGCCGCGACTGCGGAAAACACCACAATCCCCACAGCTATAATCCGGACAGCCAAAATATCGACATGCAAGATAGCTGTTAAAATGAAAGTCACATTCAAACTAGTGCCCAAAATTCCAAGAGTTGTCAATAAATGTTTGACTGGCATGACTTCAAGTCGCCATTCAATGGATTCCCCGCTTATTATCTATCCATTTTCCTCGTTTCCGAATTATGGCACTCAGGATTTTGGTTTGGGGGATTGTGGCGGGAATACCGGCAAGGCTGTGGCCTAACCGGCGATTTTCATAGATTTTTTTAGATTAGCCCATTTCTACGTTTATTGGTCGCCGTTGATAAAATCTTCATACGGCCACAAAACACAGCAAATTTACAAAAGTTTCTGCAAAACTATCGACGTGGCGTCGATAGGGAAATTTTGCTAATGTTTCCACCTTTGGTAAGTCGCTAGAATACTCGAATGATCGGATCAGAATCATCCTAACGAGCGCAAAAAGCCGCAAAAATGCCCTCTCCCTAGCGATATGAAGAGGCCTGAATTTGCCGTATTCCCAGACGGCAATTCCGGGCGGCCGGGCCTGTAATCTAATTTGCATGAAAAAATCCCCCGCTTCCGAGCCCCGGAAAAATATGCAAATTCGCGGGGCCGAGCCCGGGCTCGGCCGATTCGGCTCGGCCCCGGAAACTGAAATAGCTCATTTGCGTCTAAATTCCGAGGCTAAAATGCAAATTTGCAATGAAATATTTTTAAGTGCGTTGGTCTGGTTGGGATATCGGTCTTGGTAAATTCATTGAACTTATTTAATAATCCGTCCGAACTATCAAAGAGTACTGACATACGGGTCTGAACCTGTTCTGATCTGGCTGGAGATGTATGGCAACCTTGGCAAATAGAATTTTTTTTGGAATTTGCATGAATATTTTGATTGAAAGTGATTTCCAACCGGGATTTCTGCTTAGCGTGCGGCCTTGCGGCCCCGGGCTCGGCCCCCATTTCGGCGGAGCCGGCCCGGGGCCGGCGAGAAAAGCCGAGCCCCGGCCCCGCCGGAAGTGGGGCCGAGCCCCGTCGGCCCGGCCGCATGCAAATTTCTGGGGCTGAAAAAGCCCGAGGGCCGGGCCCGTTGCCATGTCTGCGTATTCCTCTGATGTAATATTGTTAAAAATAATCATGCTACGAATTCCACCATATTAACGTAAAACTGAGAATTTATGCCGCGTTGGCAGCGTGCCAAAAAATGCCGCCCATTTCCTTGGCTCGGTGCCCAGGATATTAAAAGGCTTTGCCCGCTACGCGTTCCCATCTCCCCTGTGGCGTAGCGGATCGGTGCTCGGCCTTAGGAGCTGAGGGTCGGGGGTTCGGATCCCCGAGAAATTCAGCTTTTTGCTTTTTGGAAGTGCACCAGCAAAGCCTTTTTTTAGGCTCTCCATGTGCGAAATTGAAAGGGCTCGAGAAAGATGCATTTGGTCAAAAAGCAAATAATTTTGCAGCGGGCGGGAGTCGAACCAGCGATGGTTAGCCCCCATAGCTAACCAGTACACCAACCACCCAACCGTGACGGCGAAAAGCCTTCAAATACCCTAGGGGGCTTCCCCAGGCCTTTTCCGGGTTTCTCGCTTTGGACTGCGTCGAAATTGGGCTTTGCATAAAGATTAGAAATTCCGAATATGAATTACGTCGATAGTAGCGGCGCGTCGGTCCGTTGCCCTGACGGACGCCTGGCCATCTTTCTCCAGCCCTTTAAGTTTGGCCCTCGCTCCAGCGCCACAGGCCAACGAAAAAGACCTTGACTAAATCCGAGATAAAGCGGTAGCTAGCGCCGCAGGCTCAAGGATTCTAGCGTAACATTGGCTCTGGCGCCGGAGGCCAATGAATGGCTCCTTGCCTCAGGTTCTAGCGCCGCCGGCTCAGAAAAAAGGTATTCAAATTTAAGGTTTCTAGACGGGGTCTAGTGGAAAATAGCCGCGAAGGGGTCTTTTTTTCACTAATGAAGTACATATAACCACAAGCTGATCACTATTTATGGCGTTTACAGCTTTCGTCGGGGTTTTATTGGTGCCATCGGATCAGCGTCAAAAATTATACTAAGAAATTTAATTTCAGCCTGAAATACCATAAGTTAAAATTATTACTTTATTACGCTAAAAAGTTTAATCGATTTAAATTCGTTAAAAATTAGGTTTTTTGGGCTGAAACTAAATCTCCAAGTATAATTTCCGATGCTCTATCCGATGGCGTTTTCAAAATAGCAGGGTATTCTTTATAAATACAAAAATTGTTTCCACCCCGTTATTTGTCCCCCCCCGTTAAGCAACCTTTACGCCAAAACATACGTTTTTCTCTCCACCCGGTAGCCTTTCGCATTTCCAAGTTGGGAAAGGTTGTCAGAATGTTCGTAAACAAAAGGAGTGCAGGAGTTCAAAAAACTTTTTTCCTTGGGGGGCTTTGTTTTCATCATCTTTGTGTAGATCGTGTCGAGTAAGCAAAATTAGCTGCTCAAGAACGGTGGTGTTGTAAGCACTTATAGATGTTTGATTTCCTATCTGCATCTTCTGGCAATCGACAATCGTTTAGGCAGTCAGCGTGATCCGGTGCCAGCAGTGCCAAAAGGTATATTGTCAAACGACTACATTTGTCACCAGGCCGCTCTGAAACGCATTTAGCGGTATTCGAGGGTAGATTACTGTACGCCCATCAGATTTGGGCGAAAATTGCGTTTGACACTATTTTGACGATTTAAAAACAAAGGAATAAACTTTCGAGCAATGAGGATTTTTTATTTCGAAAATTTTTGCGCAAAATTTTTCTCGCTGCTCCCTCCGAAATGCAGCCGTCCTTCCCGAAATTTGAGTTCAGCTACGCCCCTGATCCCCGCACACGCTTAGCGGCTTTTCGACCCTGGTGTTTGATTAAATAATCAAGCAATCTTGCCTGATTATTTGGCAAGCGAAGCAAAGTAATATTATTTTTCTAGCTTTTGAGAAAGTTTTTCTGCTTTAAATTTCACTAAAAACAATATAGAAAGGGCTAAAAGCAGGGCCGAGGCTTCCCCCCCGCTAACATGGTAGCACCGAAAAAACTACCCCTCGCCCCCCCCCGCGAATACTCAAGTAGCCATTTTTTTCAGCGCTACGGCACGGAGACACCGTGGTCCTGTTTGACGTGTGAAGAGCTGTGGGATGGATGGTACAGCCACCGTTGGCAGTTTGGACGACCACCACCGCAATTCATTATCTGCCTGCAACACTTAAGCCATCGAGCCCTGGCCCAACATGCCGACGTAGGGGCTTGGCTTCAAGTTTCGTTCGCAATATGGGGGGAACCAACTTGCTTTCTTAGGATCCAATCTTTCTAATAGCAAAAGTGAACTTTCGAAAAAATGAAATTTCGACAATTTAAAGTTTCGACAAGGTGAAATATCGACGAAATACCCCGGGCCGTCCTCGGTTTTTTTCAATATAAGCCAAGGCTCGAAAGCCGCTTCGCGACTTTTCGACCCTGGCCTCGTCCGATCCCATGATATTCTGCAATTTCCATAATTCTCGCGATTTTCGGCGACAAAAAAAATGAGAAACTCTATCTCTCTTCCCCTTTATACATGGTGTCCCAACTCCCCCCCCTCTAGAGGCCGTCAATCGGATCGGATCGGAATGATTTTTGTACCAATCGAAAGCTCTCGGAAAGGCGAGCAAACAAGCGGGATTTATTTTATGAGATTTATTTTTATACGTTGGATATTCAACGTTTTTCTAAAAAACAGGTAGATTTTCAATAGGAATTTCGCGATTAGCATGCAGATCTCGCGTAAATCTGCCGTTTTCATGGTTTTTGGTCGTGAAATTTGCTAATAAAAATAGATAATAAAGAAAATGAACCGTCCTTTTTTCTCTCGCCTTTTCAAGAGCTTTCAATAGATACCTAAACGATAAAAATCGGACACGACTGCTCGCCGCTAGAGGGGGGGGTTTGGGACACCCTGTATAGGCTACCGCAACTTCAGGCGTATGCTAATTGTGTCATAGCAAAGAGGGGCCACCCTGTATTCCAGATAGCACTTTGTCCGCGGCGAGCACATCTACCCGGACTCATGCACGTGTATTCATATTCCGACGAGAAATTCGATCGCGACGCATTTTTGGTAAGTGGCATTATGGTATTGCCCTTCTTGAGCTGTTTACATGCAAAAACCGAAATCCAGTCACAATCCCGACAGCCAAAATTCCTTGTTTTTGTTTGGTTGGTCGTTTTGGTTGTCGGGATTTTGGCGCCTCCCCACCAAAAACCCTGACAGGCACCCAATTTTCCAGAGTGTCTACAAGGAGCGAATTGAAAATCTACATGGTGGCAAGCTGCGTTTTCTCTCTGTGTTTGAGCCCGACACCAAAATAATGGAAGAAAAATTGCGGTTGGAAGAAGAAAACGTGGGTTATAGAAACCGCTTCTATCGCAGTGTCTCACGTGCTAATCTTGGTAAAGGTTGCTTAACGGGGGGGGGGGGGAAGCAATAACGGGGGTGGAAACCATTTTTCCCCCTATAGGGACCTGTCGGGCCAATTCAATAGAGAGTCGAAAATTATACTAAGAATTTTAATTTCAGCCCGAAATACCACAATTTAAAATTATTACTTTATTAAAGGTACACTAAAGCCTCGTTGGTTTGGTTACCGGCCGGTAACCGTCCGCGGAATAGCAGACAGGGTTACGGTAGGTGCTCGCCGCGGAGCAAAACCGAACCCTCGCCACTCGCCTAGGGAGAGCGCTTTAGACCACTAGGCCATGGGACAGACGGGAGGGGGGAGAGGGAAGGGGCATAAGAAGGGTCCGGGCGTTGCGCGGCAGAGGGCCCGGATTTCCGACCGCGAACCGAGTTTTTGCACGAGATTTTAGTGTACCTTTAAGCTAAAAAGTGTAATGAATTAAAGATCGTTAAAAATGAGGTTTTTTGTGCTGAAATTAAATCTCCAAGTATCATTTTCGATGCTCTATCCGAAGGCGTTTTCAAAATAGCAGGATATTCTTTATCAATACAAAAATGTTTCCACCCCCGTTATTTGTCCCCCCCCCCGTTAAGCAACCTTTACCCCTTTTGTACGATAATTTAGTTTTTTACTAAAAAGGTTTGCGCCCCCGCCCGCGCCCGCGCCCGCACCGCGTTTCTCGCCGGTGATGACCATTGCGCCTACAACCTGATTTTCCATTTTCAGTGGGCTCCGGAGGACCTGCCCTATTTCCGGATCAGCGCATTCGGCAAAGGTAAACTTTGACATTGCGATCAGCATATCAAATTGGCCACATTTCGGAGTTTGACACAAACAACTTTCCCCAAATGCCACGCGAAAAAAAAGTCGACATTGGCAATTTCAAAGCCATCGAACCGAAACTGTCAACAAACCGAAATTATCTTTGTTTATCAAGTACCATAGGAAAATCAAAATCCATTTTTCAATTTTCGGCATGATTTTCAGTGTAATTAATTTCGAAGATCATTATTAATATCATCATTTGAAAGAGAAAAAGATTCTTATCATTTTGTCTTTTATCCGACGTTTTTCAGATTTTCTGGCGGCATTAGTTTCTAACATCCACGGCGGGGCAAATCTATACCTCGTCGACTGCTAAGTTGAACGCCAAAAATCACATAAATCGTCGCCTGGCAGTTGCTGCACGTCACTGAATTATACCGGAGACATGCAAAAAAAGAATGCATCGTTTTCAAAGCATCGACACTCTGCAAATTTTCTGGACGTGATTTCCGCAAATTTTCTCTGCTAGTTTTCCTTTGCGCTCCCGCAATTCAGCAATTGATAAGCGCTCTACTTTCCACTTCCACTTTCTCACGCTCAAAATTCCGTAATAGCCTCTGTTGGCTTGCCCCTTCCGGAACATCAGAAGTTCCTCTCAGCGGTGTTCGGAGCCAATTTACGGCTATCATTCTCAGATTCTTCATGGCGCTTAATGAAGGAAAATAAATCTCAATTTTTCGGAAGATCAGAACAGATCTCGTAACTTTTACAGCTTGTTTCCCAAACAACAATTGTCCGGATGCTCCAATTAACGGCTAGTTAAACCGATCAATCTTCTTTACGAGTAGTGAATCTACCCCCTCCCCCCCCAAGATGACTAGGTCTAGACAAATGCGACGTTGGGCGACAATCGAAACGCAATGCTAGGATATTTTTGAGTGCAGCGTAACTATCGAGACCGCATCGATGGAAGGGGTTGATTCGAGCACATTAAAAGGACGGGGCCATCGAGCAGAGGTCATATGGGAACGGAAGGCGGCTGTAGTCATCCGCTGCTATGCTAATTTTATTCCCCCCGCATCTCATCTTCTATATCCCACATCCTTTCTTTCTATATCCGTTCCCTCTACGTGTTTTGTAGCTTGAAAACTCTGAATAATTACTTCTCTACTCGGCTGTGATTTTGTGTGTTCTCCCAGGTTTTGGCTGTGGTTTTTAGGTTGATAAGTGGTCGGCAAATCGTTTCTGCTGGCTGGCCCAATCGGCATTCACCGAAAATACATCTGGCGTCTACCTCGGAATTCCACACAGTTGATTTCCACCGTGCAATTTATCGATTAAAAAATAACGAAACGACGAATTTTCATAAAGAAACACTAGAAAATCTGTTATGTACAAAATCACTAATAAAGATGAAATAAAGCGAGACCTGTATCACAAAAGCACAAAGTCAATTCGAGGATTATGCTTCTGCCTGCCGCCGCTCTTTTTGTGCCGCCTCGAAGGCCATCTTTTCGCGTAGGAACTTTTCGTATTCGCCCTTCCGCTTTTCGACGAGTAATTTTTCCTAGGAAAAAATATTTCAAATTCCGCCTTTCCTTACTTTCCATTCTCGAAAAGCTTCATCCCCGGATGACGTGTCGGCTACCTTGTAGTTTTTCATCTAAAAAAGACGACGACTCAATTTCACGAATTAGGAGGCTTACAAATTTCTGGAATATCGCTGGTTGATTGAACATCCAAAAGGCTGCCACCGGGAACGTGACGAGCAGTAAAAATCGAAAACTTTCGAGCCTCCAGCCGGCCATCTAAAAAGGATTTATTGACCTCAATTGCCCGATGTAAAATCCATAGGTACGCTTCGCTTCCATTTACGAATTTCATTTGCTCGTTTATCCACTTTACAGAATGCAAAAACATTTATACCAACCAAACATAACAACTCAACATCAACAAAAAAGAAACAAGAAACGGAGATGATTTTTATCTTCGGCCGCCACCGCGACCTCGTCCGCCAAAGCCTCCTCGGCCGCCGCCGCCAGATCTGCTGCCCCTGGGCTTGATGACGTCGTCGAAGCTAAAATTCGTGCTCAAAAAGAATTACAAAAAGATCAACCTCTGTTTCGTATTCTGCTTGGAACCCTTCTTCTTACCGCCGAAGCCGAAGCGTTTGTCACGTGTGTTGCGGCTCATCTTCCTCTTTGTCTGAACGGAATCGAATGAGTTGTAGGGTGAAGCTCTTACCCTATCGACCTCCCCTCTTGAGCCACCACGAGACATCACGCGTTTGTCGTCGTCATCCTGAAAATAGTTGTACTAAGTTTTGGAGGGCAATCAATACATCATCGAATTGGATCTTCTTTGCATTGCTGAGCATATCGTCCAGCTGCTGCTTCATTCCCTTGCGATGCTTCTTCAGCGTCTCCATGAACACCTTCTTATCCTTTTGCCGGGCTTCGAGGACTGCCTAAAAAGAAAACAGTTTAGTATATTGCTGCTTTCATGACAGTCGTAAGAAGATCATGCACTAAATTTACCTTGTTGGTCTTGCTGGCGTATTTTTTCTCCTCGCGCATCGTCCTGATCGCCTCCTGGCGCTCCTTCACTTGCTGCGCGTCCACTAAGCGCTTTCGGACCTGGGTTTCTTGTTTCTGGAACAGAATTTTATCGCACCTTCTGCATGTGGTCATCAGATTTGGCCATCTCTGCATAGTAGTCAGTTGGGCGGAATACCTAAAGAAAACTAGGGACGAAATTTACTGGCTCACCTTCACCTTCATCGCCAACAACTTTGGGACGACGCGTTGGACTGCTTGCTCGGCTTGTTTGTAACTGAAAAACAGCTAAGATAAGGGCAACAACGACGATGCTCACAATTGCATCTCGCGCTCAAAATCGTTCTCCTCGGACACCTCTGTGAAGCCGCCCTCCGTCGTCACGTCGACCGTCTCGATCCAGGGCAATGGTTGGTACTTCAGTGCCTTCGCTTTCAGCTGGTCCTAAACAAAAGAAGCTAGAATCACAAAAATTTTTCACGGACCACCAAATTGATCATCGGCCGCTGTTTTTCCTTGACATAATTGAGCGCGTCCGACTTGAGCAGACCTTCTTTCAGTGCCACTCGGAGCTAAAATCAACATTCAAGAGAAAAAGATTGTTACTACCTCTTCATCTGAATCCTCGGCTTCGTCTCCGTCGTCGAGCAGGGGCTTTGGGCCGTCGAGCTGTATGGGTTCATCCTAAAAACTAGTTAGATCAAAGGGACTATAGGCTACCTCAATCCCAAAATCCTCATCATACGAATCCTCCTCTAGCGCCGGGGCTCGCGGTTTCCTGCCTTGTCTCTGGGCCTTCTTGAACTTCATATCCGGCTGAAATTTGGGTAGATGGGTAGATGGGATGATAAATCGAGCTCAAGAAGACAATACAATCACATTTTCCATTTGAAAAAATAGAAAACGCAAAAATCGTTCGTTCCTTACTAAAAAAGTAGCTTTTCAAGTCCCAAAAATTTGCGCAGAGAGAAATCCTGGCCTAATGGCTACGCGTCGCGCCTATCGACGCGGTTTTTCTGCCCCAGAGGCCGTCGGGCCGCACAAAGTGTGCCTTTGGAACGGATGGCCTGCTGAAAAATATTGTTTGCCTGAAGCTTTTCGTCAAAATAAGAAATATGCTTATATTTTTTTAGCATTTTAAGATATACAAATTTGATGAGCGCTCTACGCTCTATCGTCTCTGTGGTGTCGAGAAATCGCTGTGTATTTTGAACGGCGTAAATTGAACGTTTGAGCTGAATGGCGAATGGATTTTTCCTCGATTCAATGCACTGAAACCTTGTCCTCATAAGTCTGTCATTCCCAGGCAATCGAGGCCTCTTCGATTGCTAATCAGACTTCCTTTTTTCAGCCGCAGGCTAATGCGATGGGACCGCTTTTTCTGATCGTTGCCTACCTGTCGCTGAGCGGCGCCGAGGTGGACTTGCCGTGGACGCTGGCCGGACCGTGCGAGCCATTTGTACAGGTAACACTTTTCGAACCAATGGCCTTGAAGCTAGAAACCTTGCCTCTAAATCTTTGTGCTTTGTAGGAACTCGCGAAGGCCCAATCCCGATTCGTCGAATGTGCCACCAACAATTCCATTCCGCCGTCGGTCTGCCTCGACTGTATAGGAGATTACATGAATTTCCGGCAGATCGAGTATGACACGCGGCATATAGTGAGTGTGTTGAAATTTGGTTTGATTTTCGATTTTTAGAACGTGACGACCTTCGACGGGCAGACGTGCTCCGACCTCATCTTCAACAACTACGTCGTCAGCTACGGTGCCGAAATCACGCAGGCGTTGAACGACAAAATTTGGGAGCAGTCGCGATGTAGTTGTGAGTTTATCGGTGCTTCCAGGTTATCGGGGGGCGGTTGCGAACTTTTTTCTATAATCTCGGGGGGGGGGGGGGGTCGACTAATCAAACGTTTACCGCTTTATAGACTTGCACGCCGTTTGAAATGATTCTGGACTGTCAGTGGGGGAGAAAAAATTCAGAAATAGATCATAAAATCCGTTGCAAATTTCTGCTTTTTCGGTCCAACCTGTATGAAAATGGTTGAAAACTAGCTAAAACCTTAGATTTTGTGACTGTAGGATAAATTTTTGTATAATTTCTGGTTATCGGAAACGACCAAAAACATTATTGAAATAAACTACAATTTCTCATTAGGCAGGTATAGGCTAAACAAAAACAGTTGGAAACCGCCCCCCGTTAACCTGGAAGCACCGTTTATCTTGTTCTATCTTTGTGGAGCTTCTAGAACGTCACTTAGTTTTGCTCTTTAGCGTGTCTCTGGATCGACTGGAAGTTCGAGACTCGAGAATCGCGCTACACGTTCAACAACCAGACGAAGCGCTTCTATAATGTACTTTATTAGTGGTGATCCTAAAATTTCGGTTTTAGGTTCTCTACTCTTCTTGGCGTGATTGTGTAGAAAATGTGACGCAATCAGATGATGCCCAGCTAATGGATTCCAACTCCACTGTTTGCACCGCTTGCAAGGTATCCATTTTATACTCCGCATATTACCTTTTAGGCGCAATTCAACGAGCTGTTCGCCTACTACTGGAAAATCTACATCGAGCCGGACACGCAGTTTTGTGTCGACATTGAAGCTTTGGTAAGGTTTTTCGGCAACGAGTAATCATTTTTTAGATGAATGACACAATGCACTTGTGGAACGATGTCCAAGGATGTAGCGAGCGCAAGGATAGACAAAAGGAAACGAATCTTGTGGTTTACACGTAAATTTCCTTGTTTTTTGTGTTGCATCCTTTCTTTTAGCTCTATCGCTCTATTCGTGCTCACCTTCCTGTTCTACATGGGCAGCTACGCGCAGGGCGAACGAGTGTCAAGAAGACTTGTGCAATGTTTGGGCATTTTATGAACAATATGGTTGCTCTAGATTCTCGCCTCGACCCGCCGGAGACAAATCGTTCACGCCTGCTCTCCTCGGCTTCCAGCGCCAACTTCCAAGTGACCAACAACGCGTATAATTTCTAACATTGTTTACTTTGTGATCTTGCCCACTCTGTGATATCTTGTGATTGCCTTACCATCGATCTCACCTCACTGCTCGTTTCCGGTAGCTAATAAACATTCGAAAAAACGAAGATGACCAAAGTTTATTGACCGAGTTTGATGCTTGGATCTTATCGAAGGTCTTGATGGAATGAGTCATTTGTGCGCGGCCACGAAAAGCAATTACCCGGCTCTGTTTTTAGGTCAGTCAGCATGGGCGCCTCCGGGTCGAAGGATTACTCCCACATCCACCACTCCCTTCACCGGAAGGAATACAACCAAGTCTCGCACGATGGTGTAAGTTTTCACCTTTTTGTGGTCTATTCAAGTGGAATTGTAGTTTAGGATTTGCTCAGTCCAATATTTGCTTGGTTTTCCAGATCGACGCTAACGCTGACCAAATTGGGCAATTCCGCGAGCGATGTGAGGAGAAGGTGGCTGATTTGAAGGTAAAATTATTTTTATTTTTTTGCAACGTCTTTTTAGGCGGTCCTTGATGAGTGCACGAACCGGGTCCAGTCGCGCCCAAACACCGAAGAGACGTGCCACCAGGAGATGTGCGATTACATTCAAGCCCTCGACCATTGCGTAAGTGTCAAATTTCCTTGTCGGCAACCACCCATTTTAGGCCCTCCCCGCAGCCTGGAAGCACCTCAAGTAGAACCCCCCTGTCGCATCTCCCGTCAGCATCTTCAATTGGATATACCTGTTTTAAGGACTAGATTTTGTGATTGATATTAATGGATTCATTGCTTCTTATAGGAATAAAATAAATTTTGAGATCCCGTCGTCTTTTTGCTGGTCTGCCGAGAATTGTTTTCCCAAACACAATATTGCCTGTTCATTGTGGGGCGGGCGCACGCCGATTGGCCGCCATTTCATTTCTCGTCTGACACCGCGATTGCCTAGATGCTGCGCTCGATAGCGGCTCTCGGGTTGAAGCCGTTGTCGGCCCAGGCCAGCCGGACGCTCATTGTTTCTGCAGGTGTGGTTTGACTCTTGTTTTGAAGAATCCATAGCACTGAAAAGCGCTGATTCTATGATGTTTGGCTTTCGTATTCGTCAAGTTGGAAAGCAAAATGGCTTTACGGTGTTGATATCCTTGTTTTCAAAGGCTGAGATCGAAAGCATTTTTAGTGAGATGGCTTCCCGTGGTCCAGTTTAACTTGTCCGACATTGGCGAAGGCATCGCAGAAGTTCAAGTGAAAGAATGGTGCGTCGACAGCGTTGTAAAAAGCCAAATTTCTCTTTAGGCACGTCAAAGTCGGCGACCGCGTCAGCCAGTTCGACAACCTCTGCGAAGTGCAAAGTGACAAGGCCTCCGTTACAATCACCTCCAGATACGACGGCGTAATCAAGAAATTGTAAGCTCGCTCTCAGCTTTGTGTATTTATTTTAGGCACTACGGTGTGGATGATGTCGCCCGGGTAGGAAAGCCGCTGATGGACATCGAGGTAGAAGGGGCCGCAGAAGAGGTGAAACAAAAGGAAGATCCACTCGATGCTGTAAAGCCGAAGAGTGGCAAGCCGACCGGCGACAAAGAGGCAAAATCAACATCTGCTGCGCACGATAATGGCAAGGTAGGAATTTTCCTTTCTGCAACGAAATTCTATAATTTTTCAGGCGCTCGCAACGCCGGCGGTGCGACGAGTCGCGATCGAGAATAGCGTTGACCTCTCCAAAGTGACGGGCACGGGCAAAGATGGACGAGTGTTGAAGGAAGACGTGCTTGAATTCATTGGCCATATAAAACGAGGTTTTGCAGGTCGTATTTCAAAAATGTTGATTTAGACACAGCGCCTGCCTCTCACTCGAACAAACGATCCTCGCCATCCGTCGGGCAATCTTCGGGACCAGCGCTAAAGCAACTCGGCGAGGACCAGGTCGTCCCAATCCGCGGCTATGCACGTGCCATGATCAAGACGATGACTGAAGCGCTCAAAATCCCACATTTCGGGTACAACGACGAGGTGAAATTTGCGTTTTCATACCAAATCTTGATTTAAGATGAACTTTGACGAACTCGTTCGCCTACGACACGAACTCAAGGAATTCGCCAAAGAAAAGTGCGACAATTTTAAAGTGTTCTAATCGTTTCTTTGCAGACATATCAAGCTCTCCTACATGCCGTTCATCATCAAGGCCTGTTCGCTGGGTCTCGTCGAGTTCCCGTCGCTGAACGCCGTCACCGATGCCAGCATGGAGAACGTTACGTGGAAGGTAACAAAGTACGCTTTTTGCGAAAATTCGGCTTTTAGGCGTCGCACAACATCTGTCTGGCGATGGACACACCCGGTGGCCTCGTCGTGCCCAACATCAAGCATTGCGAGCAGCGCAGCGTCTTCGAGATTGCCCAGGTTTTGTTCAAAAACTATATTTATCTTTTACCAGGAGTTGAACCGGCTGCACGAGGCCAGCAAGCGCCAGCAAATCTCGCGCGACGACCTTTCCGGCGGCACATTCTCACTCAGCAACATCGGCGCGGTAAATCTGCTAGACTTTCTTTATTTTCATTTCAGATTGGCGGTACCTACGCGTCGCCTGTTATCCTGCCGCCCCAAGTCGCCATCGGCGCTATTGGAAAGCTCGAAAAGCTGCCGCGCTTTGACAAGAACGGAAATGTAGGCCAATTGTTTCGATCGATTTCTGGGTTTTAGATCTATCCGGCGCATCTGATGAAATTCTCGTGGTCGGCCGATCACCGGGTTGTCGACGGAGCGACAATGGCTCGTTTCAGGTATTACTTCAGAATGTCTGGTTTAAACTCCCGGCTTGCAGCAATCGCGTCAAGCAGTATATCGAGAATCCGTCGACGATGCTGACGCAGCTTCGCTAAGTGCTCACTAGACACTAGCCGGCCGTTTTCAGATTGATTGTGATTGTGTGTGGTCCGAAACTTCCCCTCGTTCATCGAGCTTTTCTTCATCTTCCCCATAGTTCTTACTGTCGTCCCCCCTCTCGCACGTGCATTTCTCGTCTTTTTTTTTTGACCGAACGTTGTCCTAGACGATACTGGTTGTTCTTTGTACGCATATGGATGTTTGTTGGGCCCTGCTGTGCTGCCGTTTTTCGAAACTTCTATGAATAAAGTGGGCTAGAAATTTTATTGACAGACGATATATCATTAAAACAAGAAATTAATCCCCATGGGGGCGTATAAACAAAAGCATGGTGGAAGAATTTTCTCCCAAACGGAAGGCAGATGAAATACACAGCAAACAAAAGACGTTAGTTAGTCACAACGGAAAATGCAATAACTGTGGGGATTAATTAATTATTGTTCTCGTCGCGCGCTTCACGCTTCATCATGAACTCGGCGACATCATAGGCAGCATACGCGTCGTGGGTGGTGGTGTTGCTGGCGCGGCTCGGCCCCGGCTGGTCGACGTCCATGTTGTCCACCATCGCCGCAGACCGTTTCTGGGCGGCTGGATCTAAAATCGGGATGTTGGTGGTCAAAGGTCAAAAGAACCGATTAGTTTGTAGGTGTTGGCCGTGTTGTATGGCATACGCGGACCGTAGAGACCAGCCCCGTCAGCTGCACATGCGTGCTTGCTGCGCTTGCGCGAGGGCCCGGGCGCGTTGGCGACGAGCTCCTATAAATCATTCGAGAAAATTGTTAGAAATATACCTCCAAATCGACACCGGTATATTCCGAGCAGTCGCCGGACGCCTGCTCTTCCTGGAATGAACGACGCGTCTTCTGTCGGCGATTGCAGAACCAGATGCGTACCACCTAAGAATAAAATCTCGGACAAAAAAGCATACCTCGTATTCTAAGCCAAGCTGCTCCGACAGATCATCCATATATGCGCGTGAGGGGTGTGGGTTGATGCTGAACCGAGAAATAAATCAACGATGAAAGCACGCACCAAAAGACGACCTCCAGCGACTTGTGCTGTTGCGTGTCGAGGTTGACGCGTTTCTTCCGCTTCTTGATGTTGACGACAGGGGCGGGCTGATTCGGGATCTAAATCGAAACGTAAACGTAAACGAAGAGCTACGATACCGCCTTGGTGCCATTTTGGATAATGTCGAGGAGGCTGACGCCGTGGATAATCGACGCTTCAGCCTCGGTGATCCACGTGTCGAAGATGGGCATCAGCTTCTGCATGTTCTTGTACGTCAACTGACAGGCTTCGTAGCGCGACACCGTCGTCTGCGAAATCTCGGCCCCGTAGCGACGGCCCATCGCAAAGCCGACGTCGTATTGTGTGAAACCTGAAGTCAAAAATATCTTGCCGCATTAAATGAAGTACCGAATTTGATGCGCATCTCCTTGAAGCTGTTGGCAGATCTACCGAGCCTCACCATCTCCTCGCGCTCCTCGACCGGCATCTGGCGGACAGCCTCTTGCAACAGCTCCTAAAAAGTATAGATATATTTGAAAAGAGAAAAGGTACCACAGAGAAGCCGTGCAGCGTGTCCCCGGGCGCCGGGATGTGGACCCGCTGCTGCTGGAAAGCAGGCGGCAAAACGACGCGCGACGAGGTCTCTGGCGGCAACTCTTCCTCCTTTCGGACGCCTCTCGGAACCTACAAATCGTGTCTTAAACAAGTATGCAATATTACCGCTCGCGGCAATTCCTCCTCAAAGTCGTTCTTGGGGATGTGGGTCGTTGAGTCACTAAGCATGCCGCTAGCCGAGATCTGGAAAATGGGACCGATTGGAGGCAGAAAACGATCAACATGAAAATGAAAATGAGATTACGCTTTAAAGATTCGGTTGGACAAAAATACATCCTCAAAAAGCGTGGGGATTTGCGCAACGCCGCATTAAGAGGAAGTTAGAATATCACGCAAAAAAGCATAAAAGAAAACAGCTTTTGGATAGAAGGGTTACAGAAACTCAAACGCAAAACACGGCCTCGCAGGCTAAAGCTGCCGGAAATTTTTAGGAAAAAAATGCGCTAATGTCCCGAAAAATCAAAATGGCACGAAATCGAATCGCGAGAACAAAAAATTCCGCGCCGAATTCGTTCCGCTCGCTACGGTTGTCAACTGGAGCGTTCGTAGCGTGGTGTGTTTTGTATGGCATCGGAATTTTTTTATTGGCGTTGTTTTTATTATTTAATTATTTATTTAGCATTTCAAACGTCATTTTTATTACGGACCCGAATAGTGGCTGGTACAACAAAAATTTGCAGATGAGAAGTGAAGATTTTCGGAAAAAAATCACGCTGCAGTTCTACGCGACTTTCTCAGGCTCCAAATTTTGATTGAGACATTAGAAATGCGGCTTTTGCCTAATTCCAATTGTTATGTAGGCGTTTGTAGGCCCAGGCGCGACGCCGGAACTCGTCGAGGTCTTTCTGGCGCGGGACGACGCAGGGGCCGCGGTGCGGGTCGGCGTCCTGAAAATGCGTTTGAAAAGGGAGAGTAAATGGTTTTTTTTTAAATAGCAATCAGAAACTAAGTAAAACTATGTAAAAATCGGCGTACTTACCGCCACAATCTGCCCGGGGCAATACATCGAGTTCAGCTTGATCGTGTCCCACCTAAAAGGGTTAATTTTTCTGAGGGTTTTGTTTGGTTCTGGCCACATAGCAGAGGAGAACTGGGATTTCTTGGTTAGCAATCCAAAGCCCTAAATGACCCGACTTTGACCTCGTAAAGCAATTCGAAGCTCAAGATAAGCAGCTTGGGCCAAAGCTTCAACCTAAGCCTAGGCTAGGCGTATTTAAAGCTACGTGGAGCTTAAGCTAAAAACCAAATAGCTTAAGCGGAGCGTCTCGTGACCCCTTACTACCAATTTCGGACTCCCCCCCCCCCTTAACTGCATTAGCACCCTGATGCTTACCTCGTCAATAGGCCAACGCGCTGCCCGGCCCCAATATCAGCACTATTCCTGGCCGGGCAGTACTCGGTAAGCGTATAAATATCACGGGCCCACAGCGGTACCGTGATCGACTCCGGGTCGAAGGGCCATTCCAGTTGCGCCGCGTGAAACTAAACGATTTTAGGTCCTTTTTTCCAAACATTTTAAATTGGTCGGTGACGATTTCGAAAGTCCAAGCTCCAACCGAGCGTTTCGCTTCTTGGAACTACGACAGGATTCTGGTTTTTCTAGTTTTTGGTGATTTGTTTTTAGATGCTTTTCGGAATTGTTTTTTTCAGCTGGTTTCTCGTAAAGAGTAATGGCTGGCGGATGGGTTATTTTCAAAATTTCCGAATTCATAATGTCGAAATGTTTTGTCCAAATGTACGGTGCCTTTCCACTATCGGGGGGGGGTAGCCTTTTCTAAGGACTTAATTTACCTTATAGAACTGGAGAGTCTGTTTTTAGAATGTTTATTTATTGTTCCTAAAAGCAAATTTTTTTTACAGATGTTTATTACAAAGACAAGAAGGCATCGATGTTTGGAAATGGAGGACCCTAGACCATCTTTTCGACTAACTAAGAAATTTGAAGTGTTTTTTTGGAGTATTCCACCTGGAATGTAGCTAAATTTTATTCAAAAACCCAATCAGACTACTTACTATTATATTAATAGCCATTTCTGGACTTAAAGGAAAAAATGTGGCTCGGAAAAACTCCCAAATACTATCCAAAAAATTTTCGGCATTTTTTTTGGAATTCGACTAGCAAATGCTAGCGGACTAACCTGTGGTGCACGCGACAGCGTCTGCCCCGCGCCGATCGGCTGAATGTAGGAGGGGGCGTCGGGGCGGTAGATTTCTCGTTTTAGGCCTAAAACAAAGATTTTTTGAAAAATACCAAGTAGATGAAAAAATGCGCCTTTTTCAGCGCCAGATCACCTGCCAGTTTGCATGGCGTCAAACTCAACGAGGGTCGAGATAATAGGGCTCAAAGGGGTGGGGTGGGGGGGTTCTATGGCTTTGATGCACACTACAGGGTGTCCCAATAAAAAACCACCTCCCTCTAACTCGACGTAAAAGTATCGGATCGGAAAGATCGTTACACCATTCGAAAGCCCTTGAAACGGCGAGTTTGCAACAACCTTCAAAATCACTTTTCCGGGTTGCATCCGAGATAATTTGCCTCAAATTCTCCATACAAAATGACCGGAAGTGGCCGTTAATTAGATGCAGAGGCCGTTCCTTAATGTTTTTTAAACGCGTTGTAAAATAGCGCCTTGAAATAAAAACATGGTTTTGAAGATTGTTGCAAACTCGCCGTTTCCAGGGCTTCCGAATGGTGTAACGATCTTCCGATCCGATACTTCTGCGTCGAGTTAGAGGGGGTGTGTTTTTTTATTAGGACACCCCCGTATCCTGCATATCTTACTATTCCCAGGCACTCACCCATAAACCGGACCAGCTGGTCCATAATTGCGCCCCTCGAGTGGTTGTACGAATTCATGTTGAACGACGCCTCCGAGACGTATAGGATCGTCCGGCCGACGGTGCTTTCGACGGTGCCCTCGGAGTAGGCTGGAAATTACGGCAGGGTACGCGGTATTTCCTGGCGTAATCCGTTTACCTGCGTACTTTTTGCTTTTGCGCACGAGAATGTAGGGACGTGCGGCATCCCAGCGGTCAGCGTGGAACCACGGCTTGTATTCCTGAAGGGTTTTTCATCGCTTTTGAGGCAAAAATGGCGATTTCGCATCCTTGGCAACTACCAGGATCGTTTGAAGCGCTGCGGGAACCTTAAAATACAGAAAAACTATTTGGATGTTTTGCCGAGCTTCTCAACAATTTGGAGCTTTGCCAAAGGTTGAAATTGACAGTTGACCGCTTAAGGTTTTTCCGCGCTCGCAAGGCGCGCGGCAAAATCCATCGACACTTCCATAGCAAAAACACCCCATCATCTCTGGTTATTCCCTTTAAAGGTACAGTACCACATACCTGTTCCTCAAATCGCAGACACGTTCTGCGCTGAATCTGCCAGAAGGCGTCGCGGAGCAGCGTCTTTTCCGGATCGGTCAGGGACGGCCAGAAGTAAACCACCTGGTTCGGGGTGCTGAACATTTAATATTTCATTTTCTAGGACCAAAAATGCCTACCGTACCACCTCGCCTACATTGCCGTCGATTTCGTTGCCAAATAGGGTCGGCGCGGCGCGAGCCTGTAACAATGGACATTCCATTTTAAAGGGACCGGCCAGGCAAGTGGATGGCTGCAAAATACTCTCTGCTAGCCTGCCCCTTCCATTCCCAAATGATCTCTGCTAGCCTGCCCCTTCCATTCCCAAATGATCTCTGCTAGCCTGCCCCTTCCATTCCCAAATGATCTCTGCTAGCCTGCCCCTTCCATTCCCAAATGATCTCTGCTAGCCTGCCCCTTCCATTCCCAAATGATCTCTGCTAGCCTGCCCCTTCCATTCCCAAATGATCTCTGCTAGCCAGACCCTTCCATTCCCAAATGATCTCTGCTAGCCTGCCCCTTCCATTCCCAAATGATCTCTGCTAGCCTGCCACTGGATTCCTAAATGATTCTAATTCGAAAATCCCATTACATTCGAAGCGGGGGGTCAATTCACGACTTTCCCAGGTCATCAGTCCGATACCTTTGCCCGCGCGGCGCGCAACGGTTTCTGCTGGGGCACAAACGTGCGACTGTGCCAGGCGATGGAGCGGCCACGGGCGAGAAACCTAAAACATGTGTAAATTGGAAAACCTCTTCAGTAGCTTTGTGGATTGATTGCTGAAAGCAAATGTGAAATGAAGCTAGGTATTTTTAGTCTCAGAATTAGGTTCAAGAGCACCTGTGCTGTCGTCGGCCAACGATTCCACTTGCTTTATGCATACCAGCGTCTCCACATCCTGACTTGCACCAGACGGCGAGCTGCAGCGTCAAGAGGAGCGTGGCGTACCGAATGATCATCTAGGCTGGAAGGTTCAATCTAGGCTTAAACCTAAGCGCTAGCCTAATCTTTAGCCTTTAGCCTGAAGCCTAAGCCTAAGCTAATGCACAATCCAACGCATAAGAAATAAAATCCGAAAAGTCCTAGTTACGAGGAATAAGCGGAAAAGGGAGCGGGGCTGTTCTGATCTCCCGAAAAATCGAGCTCCACTTTCCCTCGTTAGGGCGTCGTATCCGGTTATCTGGCCGACATTTGACCCCCCCCATGATCAGCCGAATTTGAACACCATGAAGAAGCCGAAAAGGATAGCCGTAAACTGGAGCCCGAAAATTGTTGGGCTAACCTTCTAAAACTCGGTAGGGCGAACTTGCGGAGGAATCTAGGGAATTTGCGGAATCGAGCGGCTCGACTAGCGTAGACCAGCCGCTTATCCCGCTCGACTACCAGACCAGCGCCTAACTTCGGGCTACCCCCCGCGCTCCCTCCCCCGCGCCGAAACGCGCGCGACCTGGCTCACTATGCCCAAAATCCTGCAAATAGCCGTTTTTGCTACCTAGTTACAAATATAGCTTTTTAAATCAACTATGATAATTTTGCTGTGGTGTCCGTCCGTCGTGTCCCGAATTCAGCTCGAAGGGGAAAGGAGCTAGAGCTTAGGTCTTTTCGGATTCGGATAGGGCGCGGTCAGAAACCCCCAAACTGATAGAAAAGTTATGAAAAAGTTTTTGTTTAAATTATTAAATTTAGCTTTGAAGGTCGCACCTTGGTAAAATGATTGGGGAACGAATTTGCACGATTTTGGACATAGTGAGCCAGGTCGCGCGCGTTTCGGCGAAGGGGGAGTGAGCGCAGGGGGTAGCCCGAAGGCTGTTATGAAATATTTCGCAGAATTTCGCGGTCCAGAGAGCACAGAAGATTTGCGGAATTTGCGATATCCAGCTGGGGAGTTGGCAACGGAAATTGATACTATTTCGATGCTTTTTAAGCTAGGCAGGATGGCAGAGGGTCTTTGCGGAACTTCCTGAAACACTTTTCGGAAAGCAGATTCGCGGAATTTCAAGGTCAGAGAATGCTGACTAAGACCGGTTGCAGAACTTGTTCTTGCGGACAGGCTAGCAGAGGCACTGTACGGAACACCGGTTTGGTCGCCAAGACGAGGGCATGCTAGCACAGACCCTTTACCCATCATTTATTAACCAGAAAAAACGAGAATAGGAGGGGAGCCACAGCCACACACCGGGAGGAGAACACACAAAATCACGACCGAGTATAGAAGTAATCATTCAGAGCATGCAAGCCACAAAACACGTAGAGACGAGATACAGAAAAACAATGGAAAGGTAGGCGGAGCGGGGGGATAAAATTGGCATAGCAGGACACGCGGCGCGAGAGGCACATCACCTCAGCGCCACGCGAATCGAGCGCATCGAGCGGAAGGCGACCGGAGAGCTGGCGAGACGGGGTTCATCAGGCTAAAAATAAATATTATCACGAAATCGTATTTTCGTCCAATCTCTCTCCCTCTCTCTCTCTCTCTCTCTCTCTCTCTCTCTCTCAGACGTCTCAGAAACTCACTATGTGGCTTCTCCTCCTCGCGCCGATCTTCTCGAATAAATCGCTCAGGTGCCTTAGAACACGTTTGCCGGCGGGAAGAGTCGATGTCCGTATCCTGGAAAAATTGCTATTTATCTTGCAAACCATTTTTAAAATGTTGCTTTCTGTATTTTTGCACTCTGCTTCATTTTCGTTTTTCATTTTCAGAACAATTATTTTAGAGTCCTCACCTTAAAAAGCCGCAAAAGCGCGGCTTCGCGACGAACGGTCGCGTCAAAACACGATCGAACACGGGATATCCTTGACAATGGTGAATTCCGATGGCGTAACGATTTCGTTCCTATAGAATGAGGTTCTTAACGTGTAATACGCTTTGAATTAGAATTATTTCCACTTTCTATTCTTCACGTTTAACGATCTTTTTTGCTTTTATCGACCGAATCTTTTTTTCCAGTGATTCCGTACGGCCCTATAGCTTAATATAAACATTTTTGAGCGATTTATATCAAAAGCTCGAAAAGGACTAGAAAAATTGTCGAAAAATTTCACTTTTTGCTCAAAAGGGTATCAAAAATGATCCAGATAGGTCAAAATTTCGAGTTTTCAAAATGTGTTAGTGTTTAAACTGTGTTATGTGTTAACTATGGTTTTTACTATTCCAGCATAAAACTACCAAATTTGCAGGACAGAATAGGAAAAAAACGTCCATTTCCGCCCAAAAAGGATGGATTTTCGTCCAAATTTTTGAATTTTGCAATTTTTCCAAGTTTTCGAACGGATTTTTCGACCTGATATATCGCTAATTAATCCAAAAACGTTTTCTCGTTTTCTAAGTGCTTCTTTATCCTTAATCAAACTGTTGTGATAAGGCGGTTTTTATCACTTCTAATTACCTGTCGTAATTACGTGTATGTCGAAAGTCTCGTGCCCGATTTGACAATCGGCACGATTCTTTCGAGGTTATTAGATAGCGTAAGACTGGGGCGGGTCCCGCGGCGACTGCCCGACCCGTCAGGCTACCGTAACGGCGGCCTCTGTTCTCCCAGCCAGTCACTCGATTAATGGCGCTCTGCCCACTGGGAGAGAAATCCTTGACGCCCAGTACAAAATGTCCAGCTATTAAGTCCACACTTAATCCCTTGTGTTGTTGGGTAGAATCATTGCCCTCGGTGGGATTCGGCGCCCAATAACACCGATTGGTCTTGGCTGATCGGGGAGTGGCAAAATGCCCAGTGAGCCTTTGGCACTCTCTCGCCTCCTATTTCTCCTGTCGTGTTCTCGGTTGATTGTGGTATACTAATAAACCTTTGTAACCTTCCACGTCTTCTCTTTATCTATAAATGCATACGAGGTACATGTGAGAAGATGAGACTAAAATCCACTGAACATACACCGACATCTTTGGGCCTAGCCTTGTGCTATGGATTCTTCTTGTTTCTCCACATTGGAGTGAATGGTGGCAACTCTCGGTCATTTGGGTTTATTATTGCCCTAGTGACGTGAGGGCGTTCACTCTTTTGTCATGGTGCGTCGGCCGGGAAACGAACCCGGGTCGCCCGCGTGGCAGGCGAGCATTCTACCACTGAACCCCCTTTGACTAACGCAACACTATCTCCCTTCGGATGACTTACCGTGCCCACTTCCTGGAGGGTTAGGGCCGCGGCGTGGGGATCCACCCTCACTTGGGGATAATCGGCCAACCCGGATCATTCCATCCGACCGGACCAACCCCTGCGGTTACCAATTCCCGCCAGTCAGGCTTAGGGATGTGAACTCGGGAGAGTTCACTGATAGCGGTACGCTTGAGCTGGTCAATGGGCATCACCTGCAGGCTAGCCCGTGGAGGGCCCTTCATGCATCGGGGCGGTCTCCGCTCGGCATTAGTGCTCGCGAGACACTAATGCACGCAAATTCTGGACAAAACTTACCACAAAATCGTGGAAAATAAACTTTGAAAAGTGAAAAATAGAAGAAAATATCAATAAAAACACAAAAAGGACACAGGTTCGAAAACCGAGACGCACCATCCTGCATGTGTTTACTGACGCATCAGAGGATGCACGGTGCGCGGTTGCCTACCTCCAATCAGCTCGCGATGAAGATCGTGAGCTGGGAGCGGGTTTCCTAATGTCCAGCTCCCACCTGTCGCCCATCAAGGAGAAGATCACGATCCCGAAAGCCGAACTGCTCGCGATCGTCGATGGAATCAAGATGGCGGAAAACGTGGTCAAGGAAATCGGTCGATGTGTCGAAATCGTTCAAGTTCGCCTGTTTTCGGACTCTACGATCGCTCTCCAACAGGTAACAAGCCCAGAACCGTCCAGCAACGCGTACACGCGTAATCGGGTGACCGAATTTTGGAATATTGTCCAGCGACTGCGTTCCCGTGGATCTTCACCACGTTGCCGGAACGCAGAACCCAGCCGATATGGGCACGAAAACGGTGGCCAGTCTCACTGAAGCGACTGAGCGCGGGTGGTTTAAGGGACCTTCGTTCCTTAAAAAGTCACCTGATCATTGGCGCAAATCAGCTCGAGTCTGCCCCGACCGACGGTCATTCGATGAAAGCCCAGCACACGACCATGTTCGTGTTGCCAATGTTGAATTGGCACAAGCCCAGAAACGCCGGCCGGGGCGTCCCCGGAAAATTCCACTTACTGCCGAGCCGACGCCCATCACGGCGGACGGTGGACAACCAGATCTGGATACAATCCCGGAGACGTTGCCAC